TTGTTTGCTTAAGCCTAAGGTCCGTTATGCATCATCTTAATGTCCCTCAATGCCCCCCGACCACAAATCATACTTAATGCTTATTCCTCATGGTCATTTGGCAAATTGCTCCCTGTTCACTTGTTCACTTTGCTTGTTTAAGCCTAAGGTCTTTTGTGCATTACCACTAGTGTCCTTTAATGCCCCCACAAGCACAAATCACACTTCATATGTCCTTGTGTTATTTTCATGATAAAGGAACTAATATATTAATGTGTATGGCTAGACTTAAAATTTGTTAATGAAAAACCGATGTCATAACGGTGGCAATTTATTTTGACGTAAAGCGAAATATTTGGACACATCATTTTTTGTCAACAAAAAGGGACATGTCCAAACATAGCCATTTTTGACATCGAGTTTTACATAGCATACAATAGAGCATGACATTTGGTAGCAAAATGTATGTTAAAACTTGAAACTCGTCAATGAGAGTAGCAAGTCTTGACATAGTAATTTCGTCAATGAATAAAGCTTGTCTTGGCATGACGGTTTCTACGACAAAACTAACGCATCAAAACATTGCTTTTTTTATAACGAATCCGGTATGTCTTGATGTTATTAGTTTTTGACAACATTCATCCATCAAACATGAACATTCGGTTAAGTAGTTAAGGCACACATAATTATTGATGAAAATTGGCATGTCATGACATTGCTGATTTTCAACCACGCGAACAACATGTCTTGACGCACCAATTTTTGACGACCACATGCACGTTAACATTTAAGCATCAACATTAAGTAAATTAATTAGGCATCAAGCCAAACATACACAAACATGCATATGCTATATGGCAACGATCGCAATCGTTACAATGTCGTTTATTCCTTGCTTAGTAGACATAAAATGATGCATCTTCCACCAATAACTTCCAACGAATTTACGTTTGCTGGAAAAGAAACTCATTTTAATACACCTAAAAGGCACAAGAATTCAAAAAAATAAAAATAAAGTTTCAATCTACTTTATCCAACCATTTCATAGTTTGAGATCACTATAAACATACTTTCATCACCAAGATGAACACATTGAAGGCAAGATAGGTGGTCAAAGTGTTAGAATTGGTTTTTGCCTACCTTTTTCTCTCCTCTCTTCTCCCTCATCATTTATCTTTTTTCTCTACATTCGGAGACCAAATAGATATATAAATTAAGTTAATAATCGAAATAAATTTTTTTTAAGTGAAAGGTCTCGCTATAATATTTGTTAAAACTTGTATATTAAATGCTTGAATAACTCTTGAAAATCACAATAATACCATTAGTAAATAGTGACCATGAATCTATTGAAACAATTCTATAGTGAAAGAGAATTCACTCTTTATTGAACATTGAATAGCCCAAATATTTTAATTTTTATTGTTAATTGTTAATGTTACTTTTGCTAATTTGCATATCATGTTTTACTTGTTTTTTATTCATTTGTTGCATCATCCTTGCTGGTGCATAATAGTTATGTAAATGTATAATTTTCCATCGCTAATTATGTCTAAATGGTTGTTTTTCTTCTTCGGAATACGTGATATGTACATTGATTTTTTTTTCTCAACTAAGAGTTTAGTTTTATCATCTTCAATATTGATGAGCAATGCAAAAACAAATTGTTGTTTGTGTATTATTGATTTCATGTTGTTAGACATTTGTCTATTTCTTTTTCTTTTTTCTTTTTTCTTTTTTCTTTTTTCTTTTTTTTTCTTTTTTGACTTGAGTAGCTCAAATTACGATCTCAACCGACTATCCCACCGTTCATCTAATATTTCTCGAATTATGTCATTATGTGAATCTAATTTTTTTTTTCAAATGCTTATATGAATTGCAATTAGGAATTGCACTCGGTTTTCTCTATGCATTTATTCCAACAATACTCGAAAATGTCTATGAAAAATCTCAAAAACTATATTGATGACATTTCTTAGTTTGCAAAAAGTTGACTATTGGCATTTAAGAGCTAAAAGTAAATTTACTTTAAAAAATATGGTTAAAACAAAATATGGTATTTCAAACATGCTTAAAGAACATCTTATGATCAAAAGAGACAAGCTACGGATTCAAGTTTTTCTTTGTTGCTAGAAGAATTTTAAAGGAATTGGTGTCGATATATCCGGATGGCATGTTTACAACCTAAGAGTCCCACAAGTTTTCACCATAGTTGATGCATAAACACATGTGTTTCCTTTCTCTTATGGCACATCCGGAAAAAAGCCGGGTAGGTGAAACCATGTTTGGATTATAGATGGGCGGACGCATCCGCACCATTAAGAGAATACCCTGCGAGAGAAACCCGAAGGGTTAGACCAACCACTACCAATCATAAATTATTACATCTAATAAATGAAGACATGCTCCTAAGCTTATTTTTGTCTAACCCGCACCAACAATAACGCTATCATACTTACTCAATGATGATCCGCCAACATCAAAAATACTTAGTTCCCAATCGATATCAAAGGTTGTTAATAGTGAAAGAATGGATAGTTATACCCTTCCTTCCATGTAACTTGATGAGTATTTTGACTATATAAGCAAGCAAGAGACCTACGGTTAAAAATTCTAAATCTCTTCATTAATTACTATTCATCTTCTTTTTCATATGCACGACGGCCTTCTCAAGTTAAATTTCTCTCGTCTATATACTAACTTGATCATTAGAGAGTTTTTCATCTAACAAGAAAATTTGTTTTGTAGGTATTTCTTCCATCATGATCACCACTCTAACATTAGCCATTAAAGAACCAAATCACCCTTAGAGTTTAAACAACCTCATAAGATCCATACAAATGACGAGAAGCAAGGATTCTCCCAAATATTTTGAGTGAAAAATGCTCAAGAAAACCTGTTCATAGAATGACATTGTGTTTACCTCAAGAACTGAAATTCAGATGCATCTGTGCGGTCTATCTTCCTCGAGGGACGAAACTGGCATGGTAACGGTTTGGACGTTCCAAAAGACAAAGATCCGAGGGTCCGTAGCCAATAGGAATGCTGGAAAACACTGCGTTGTATAAGTCCTCGTAGTGCTATTCGGTTGGTCATGAGAATGGCAAACCTGTATGGTACTAAGAAAATTGTCTTTAAATTCTTGAGTATTATTGCAATCTTGTAGTAAAATTATACTTCATAGATATTTTTGTTAATTTGAGAATGGAGAATCCTGTAGAGTACTATTGCAGTTTTGTTAACAATATATAACAATCCTGTTCTGAATATTACATGTAACTTCAATTTTCCATTGAAAAATTTACTGTGCTTACAGAATCCATGCTCTTCTAGTCCACATTAGTGCGTCGCCTCTTTGCCGTTCTCTCCTGAGCAACGTATCAAGTAATACCGTAGAATTGAACCAGCCTAAATTACCTACTTAAGCTCAGAACGCATACGATTTCATCATGGCTAACATGCATAAGCTGTAAGAAGACTGGAAAATGGATACCAAACGATCATCTGAATCTCATTTCAACAAATTTGAGTTTTTTTTTTTCTTGGGAGAAAAATAAGAAACCAGAGACATCAACGCATTTACAAGGGATCACAATCACGCCACCTTGGCGATTCGAGAAATGCTCAACAACTTTGCTCTCCTTATTATTTATTTATTTTTATACATAGCTAACAATAATCATGCACTGCATTATGTTTCCTTGGTTTTCATTTTCGTTTTAGTATTTGTTTTTTTTCCCTTTTTTGGAGCATATTGTGCTTTGATCCTGCTACTCGAGCTCCCACTAACCAACCAAGAAGTTTAATATCCAATATTAAGTACCATTCCGGCCTTAATTACTGCACAGAAATGCCTCTTCCTCACGTGGACTCTCAATTAAACAAAACTCGACCATTTCATACAAGCAAGCAACAGAGATATAGCTGTTCAACATTTGGACAGTTTCTACTCACACCTGCTTCTCTAAGAACAATGTTCAATTTCTTTTGAAAAGTGGCTTCCAACCCCAAATTACTAGACCAACTACCAATAAAAACTCAGGAACCCTCCACAGATCAAAACAATCCAAATGTTTATTAACCAAGCTGGGACAAGATCAGCAATACAAGACATAAGTAGCAGTCATCAGCAAGTCACGAATAATCCATCACTAACAAAAAGGTAACTAAGAAGTAACCTAGCAGTTTCAAGATAACTAAGACCTATAATCCTTGACAGGATATTCACAACTTCATGTCGACGCATTATAGCTAGCAAGCACCAAACAAACTTCACCTCAATTTCCAACAAACAGCAGGCATTAAGGTGCTTTGGTCACTCAAAGCCCAGCTAAGCCTTCGGTAGTTGGTTTACACATGTGCATGTCACCCTTAGATGGCATCTGCATAGAGCCAGAAAAGCTGTGTCAGGAGAGATATAAGATAAAAATGTCCTCAAGCAACGAACATTCTAAAAGTCCTTATTTTGACAATACCACAGATTTTGGAAGGAAGATGGATCCTGAAAATGGATTCCCATACTATATTTTGTGTATGAATTGCCAGTTTAATATTACACAGCAGGGATGGCTTCTCAGCCACATTCTTTTTCTTTAGTGTTCTCTTAATCTTGTACCTTCTTAACTTCCACAATTTTTCTGCCTTGAAATGGTACTGCAGCCACTGGGCAGTTTTATATACTTGGTATGTGAGGTCCATGGATATATCCATTTTGTATCAAAATGGATCATTTGTATATCGGATTCTTTAGAGTCCATTTAGAAAAATTATCCTTGTCTTTGCTTATGTCTCAGGTTGGAGTGAACTATTACAATTCATCACCGTCAACATTTTTCACAAATTTTACGGGCAGAAGCACAAGCCATTTTATGTTCCTGATTGAAGATGAAAGCAATTCTGTTACCCAAGTCAAAACACACAAAATAGAGAAAACCAAAGTAATGAAGATGGAAGGTAAATAAGCAGTGCTATACACCTCATAGCAGTCAATTTCGTAAAGACATCTAGGGTAAGATTAGCTTTTAAAAGACCATGTTCACGAATTTTGGTAGGTTTCCAAAACCACATTCAGACAACAAAACTAAAATTCTTGCAGCAGCAGCTAAACCAGACATTCCTACAACAAACAGAACAGCAGGATTTAAACAAAATAAATAAATAAAAGGAGTGGAATTAGTTTGTCATATGTTTATCAGTTTCAAAATTTCTACTTTTAATTGAAGTAGAATACAAATGAACCTATCGATGAATAAATTGCATCAACAGAAGCTCTAGATTTTTAGTGGCCAATGGTAACTAGGAGCTCTCTTCAAATCTGCCTTTAAACAAACTAACAAGGAATTTTCAGCTAGCAAGTTATGGTGCCCCAAAAAACCACACAAGTAGAAGATAACACTGAATGTCCCAATATAAGGCAGAACATTAACACAAATCATAACATACCTTGCCTTGAAGACTTGTAATTGTCGACTTCAGTAAAGCATCTCCAACAATCAACCTTAACTTCTTGACAAAATCCTCCCTGCTTATCTTCTTTGCCTGATAAAATAAACAAAGAGGTGATCGCATAAATCGTGAGAAACATTTGAATTAGAATGGGAGATAACAAAAGATCATGCCATTTCCCATACCCTGAATAGTTCATAATGGTTAGCTACAAGTTCCATGTCTTTGCTAGGAACTTTATTTGAAATTGCAGCAAACAACATAGGAAAAGGCATCCACGGAGATTTAGGAGCTCTTGTACTGCTTGAACTCAGACTTGGTGACTTTCCGAGAGATCTCGCAGAACCCAAAACTGGTTGAATTTCACTTCCCTTGAAGATAGCAAATGTTAACAGTTGTAGGTAGCTCAAGCAGAATTATAAACATCAGAAGCCAAAAAACTCAAAAAATGAAACTAGTCAAAAATACCAAATCAGCCACCTTGTCAAATGGGACATAAAGAGAGCCTGTCAACCATATCCATATACTCTAGCTTGCACATTTCAATGCAAGGAACTGTTTAATTGCCTTTTAATGCTTAAACAATCCATCTATTACTCTAGCTTGCATGGTTCAAGAGCAAAAGAACATTTGACTTGCTTTTGGTACTTCAAATACCATCCAGCCCTTTATAAGGCCATGATAGTAAAACCCTTTTTCACTCTCCTTATTAAGGAATGTACTAAGTCACAATAGAGGCTGTTTGTTGCAAAACTCAACCATTCAAACTTTATTTCACACTTTATGCTTTCAGTTGCGTAAGGTCAGTTGTCTTTGGTCTAAAATTGACCTTAACTTGCAGGCAAGTGAAGAAATATGCATCTCTCCAAATAGAAAAAAGCAAAACCAACATAAAAATTTTTAGATGCTATATATTGCATAGCAAACAATGGACAGCAATCCCAATAAATATACATGAAGTAGGATAGTGCCAGAACAATATTGGTGCCTATACCATATCAGCAGCAGGGGACTCATTAAGATCGACAGCAGAGGACTCTACTGGTACATTCAAATCAACAGCAGGGGACTTGATTGGTAAACATCCCTGACCTCCATGAGAAGAAGTGGTCACCCCTGAAACAGCATGCTTACTCTCACTGCCAGCCAGAAACCCTGCAGAAAGAATACAAAGTACTACAGCAAAGTACTAAAAGAATTCCAAAAAGAAAATTAGAGGTATTCATACAGCATCTGCAGAAGACGCCGCTGACAAAGTACTAGAATCAATGCTTGACGTGCTGATTGATCTCTTGAATGTAATAGAACCCCACCAACAGGAGATTTTTCCCATCATTGATGAAACCTTTATCTTAAAACTAGCATTCTTTTAAAATTCACCATCCAAGGAGGTTGGACTGTTGAAGTGGTACTTGTTTCCAACCACCAGAATTCATTGGCCATGCTCCATCCAACAAATCACTAATGATCGAGGAGCATGCATCCAACACAGCAGCAAACATTTCATTCCAGTCCAAGAAGACATCTATAAATGTGTATGTCATACATGTGTGTCCGTGTGTGCACACGTGCACATGTTTTTAAGTATTCATGCCAAAACTAACATTTCTAAAAGAAGTAGCATATCACCTTCAGTATTGGATGAGATCTTGAAACTAACAACGAACTCCGGATAAATGTGGGTGTTCATATTCATATTCCAGACGATATACTCTCTTGGATTTTCAAGATCATCCACTCCACTATCAAAATCCTCACTACTGGGATGGAACTGTCGGCTCCCAGGCTGAAGAAGCTCCATATTTCCCATTATTACACGACAAAACACCATGTATCGTACACCGTTTTCGTCAACATCACAATAATTTGCACTGTACACAAACAAAAAGTTGAATACTCCTAAGTGGCGATGTTGAAAAGAAAAAGAATCTCAATAGTAAAACAAAGTTAAAAGCAATCACAAAAGAAAACTATCACAAAAAAGCATGACATGCACTTCTCAAGGCAGGTGGCACATGGAATGGGCAGCCAAACACGGAAATCTTTTTTCAGTAATTCTTACTACAAAAGGATAGAAGAAGCATTTACACTGATCCAGATTAAACTGTTCAAGGACTGAAACTCATCACTTGATAAATTTTTAACAAGACAAACGCAAACCATGAAATTTCACACTACTATAATATATAGAAGATAAGTGAAAATAGAGCTGAAATAGCAGCCGTAGAAACAGTAATTTGAATTACCACTAATATCTAGTAAAGGAGAAAACTCAAAAGTGTAGCTTTATCAATCAATTGCTCATGTTAGAGTCTTCAACAGAGAAGATCAATAGACACCTCCTGAGAACAACCATATTAAGTGACTCGGCTAAATCTAATAAGACGAACGCATTGCAAATTAACAAGATTTCAGAGCAATGCATATTTTTCTAGTACTATTAAACATGAATAGCATAGAAAGTTTGGCAATCCCCAAATTAGCCTTCCAAAATCAGACTGACAAGAAAAAAGGATTCTTCTTCTGAAAGAAGACTTTTCTAGCCAATCTAGAGCTGTCTAAAGTAAAGTGAACATACCTCAAGAAAATCTTAATTTCCTGTTTAAAATGATGATCTACTGGCGTTATAGATAGAATATGAGTGACTTTTTGCACATTAAATGAAAAGATAAAACAGAAAAAACATTCAACCTGGCATGACAAAAGTTTGCTGCAGAGAGATGAACACCAATGCCATGTTTGGAGTTTGTCGTGCATGGCCCGCAATGTCCAAGTCCATACAACATTATTGTGGGAAGAGCTCCTTTCGAAGAAGCAAGCCAAGCATATTGAACATTGGCATCTCCACGATATTTCCCTGTTAGTTCAATCTGCTTCTGGAAAATCTCAAATCGAGCTTGCATCGAAGTGCTATAGCAGCGACAAATATCTATTATGTCTGCACCACCAAAAGGGTTCATACCTGTAACAAACATCTTCATCACAGTGTCAGAATTCAACACTTGCTTTACAGACTCAGTCCCAGTGACTAAATTTGATATAATTCTTTCATTTTCCTCAGTAGCTTCATCAGTTTTTTCAACAGGCTTCCTGTTGCAACTATCCTCCACTTCTACAAGATAGTGGTCGCTAGTAGCCTTTTGAGCAATTTGGATATGCTTGACAAGAGCATTTGACTCACCACTATACTCATTCAACTTCGACTGGTCCCCCCATTTATATCAATTTCAAGCTGCAGCTTGATCTCATGGGGCCCAAGAGGCTCCCTAAAAGAGGATCCATGATCTTTTGCACAATCATGCTGGCAGCACAGATGCGGTTCATCTTCATCTGCATATACTTCTGGAAAGAAGCAGCCACCTGCTTCATCAATCCAGGCAATTGGTTGCTGAATATTTGTCTTCATGTCCAGTCGCATCATATGCAAGAAGTCAATCACATATCGGTGGCCCTCTAACTCAACGTCAACAACTGCCTTCTTCCCTTGGAGATCTTTCCTAACCAAAGTGAGAAGATCCTTCGGGAAATCAGTCCATTCCCCATTCTGATAACACATCAAACGCTGTGGCACTCCAGTCCTCATAAAATTTGAATAGCACCAGAGTAACGATCGTCTAGAATGATGCCCACAGCTCACAGGCTTGCTTTGGCTTCCATCCAATTTCCTGCGTTTCCCTAGCTTATGGGTTGAATTCAGAGTGAACCACTCGGGCAACACCATGCGGGAAGCACCAGAAAAGTAGGATGCATAGCGGGATGCTCGCTTTCTCTTCACCCTAGGCATAACTCTACGACTACTATCCAACACCTTTGCGATCCTGGCTTCCATTTCTACCTACTAGATTAATCCTTATCAAGAAGCCTAAATCCAAAAGTTCAAAACTAAAGAGAAGCAACAAATCTAGCCTCCAACCAGTTTCAAAGGCACAATGCCATTGAAGATGACTGGCCAATCCTGGATAACAAACACTCGTCAGGAAATTTGGTTACATAAAAAATCCATACGGCATCACAATGTATGCAAAAGATACAGATCTACAAGCCTATTCAAGCAAAAGAAAGCAATAATCCAGTGTGATACACATACCAGAAAATGCTACATAGTTAAGCAAATCATTGTGGCCCTCTTTACCTGGAGAAGTATATAACTTTGGTTCTTGAAGCAGAACAAAAAAATCATAATCTAACTACAAGGACAAAAATAGCTATTGATGAAATGGAGACGTGAAGCGTGGTATGTTTATCTGCCTAAAAAGGTACAGTTTGCTTTGAGAAGCAATGATCAATTTATAAATATGAGAACAGTCTTCATTCAAGCAACATATGGCGTACAAAATGAATACTCCCCCATGCAGACTCCTAACCAATAACAATTTCATTTGAACACTAACCACAAGGAAGTTGTACTAACCACTCCTAATATATATCAAATTAATAGCAACCCGCCTCGACGCCTATAACAATGAGATACTCAGCATGCAGTCTTCTACTCTAAAACAATTTTCACTTGAAGACTAACCACAGGGAAGTCATATTAACTGTTCCAAATATGTCTTGAAATATGGAACTGCTAGTAACTCACCTCCACGCCTATGACAAATGAATTATCTATTCCATTAAACTACAACGCTTTCACCTCACATCAATAACTCAACCCTACCGCCTATAGGTAGTTTTAGACAAGTTTCCTTTGAAGTAGATACCTGACTGCCAAGAAAGGATATATATATATATATATATATATATGTATCTGTGTGTGTGTGTGTGTGTGTGCTGGATCAACTAATTCAATAAAGAATTGGCACTTTCTGGCAGCTTTATTCTTCTAACAACAACGCTTTCATCTCACATCAATAACTCAACCCCTACCGCCTATAGGTAGCTTTAGACAAGTTTCCTTTGAAGTAGATACCTGAATGCCAAGAAAGAGTGTGTGTGTGTGTGTGTGTGTGTGTGTGTGTGTGTGTGTGTGTGTGTGTGTTGGATCAAATAGAGATGGCAGAAGATTGTGTGTGTCTGTGTGTCTGTGTGTGTGTTAGATCAATTAATTCAATAAAGAATTGGCACTTTCTGGCAGCTTTATTCTTCTAGTTAATAACATAAGAGGTGGTAAATGTTACTATAGAGATGGCAGACGATTGTGTATCCTAGAACAATCTGTATACGCTAGGCGCTAGCCTGAGGCAGTGCTGAAGTTCCAGTCACCAAACTGAAAAGTCTAATTGAACCACCAAAAAGGGTCTTATAACTGAACATATTTGGTTTTTGTACTCCCAAATAGTAGATCAAAGCAAGTAAAAGTAGGAGGAAAAAAAAAGTAGATAAGTTTGAGGATACGGAGTTACTCTTATTTTATTTTATCACAACTCAAATCACATATATTGATAGCTTTGAGCATACAAGTTTCCCCTTTCTTTATCACAACTCAAATCACAAATATGAGTCAAGACTATCCATCAACAGAAGGATTTAGGCAAAAGGATCAATGAGTTTTAAGAAAATGAGCCAGATGTGTTGAAAATACTTGGGGATAGCACAGCTGGTATAGCAGAGGCCTGAAAATGTTACAATTGATTGGTTCTCTAACGTGCATTGGTCCAAGGAACAGCATGAGTAATATTTTCTGTAAGAAAATGTCATAGAAACCTTTCAATTTTCCATGCCACTTTCAGATACATTAGTATTCACAAGGTCAATAATTTTGATGATACTGGAATGACTCATCTCCATTCCAGCTTTTTCAGGGTTCATAATGGATACTCAATTATATGCACAAAGCTCAACACATAAAGTTTTTATTCAATAACCATATTGAATGCAGAATCAGCCATGTAGAACACAAAGTTCCCTGAAAATGGCATAACATGCCTGTAGAAGCGCTTAAATAATAGATTTTTTGAAAAACATGCAGGTAAACATTGTAAGACCTACAGCAGAAAACTTTTCCATGCCAATACTCAAATCAACAAGAAATTTAATTCCCAAAAAATGCTTGCATCAAAAAGAAATTGCAGTAACAAATTCCAGACAGAGAACCAAGTGGAAAGATGAATAGACATAAAAAGCAAAAAGAAAGACATACCTAGTAATAATACTGCAGTTAGTGTTCATTTTGTACATGTTCCCCTTCTATATAACCGTAACAAATTACAGATGTAGAGCCACTTCGTTATTTATTTTACAGTCTTGAGTAGCTCCGCTCCTATACAGTCGAAATAACAACACACAAAACCCTTACTTCAATAACTAATTTGCTTTTCAACAAGACACGCAGTCACAAGCTCATATTATAATATTTGGAGTATTTATTCAAGTAGATAACCATGTATTTAATTCCGTATATTTGCTTACTCAACCAAAAATTTCGCCTTTTCAGTTATTTGGAATCAGAAATCAAACGAAAGCACAATTAGTTCTTAGGAATATGATTTCAATTCATCTTCTTGTAACCAAACAAATCAGAACCCCAAATCATTCATATAATACATCTGTAGCTACTATGTTCTTCAAAAATTTTGTCAAAATTTCTCTTAATTTTAGGATATTAGGAATTAAAAACTAAATCAAAGCAACAAAAAAAGAACAATTACTTAAAGGATTAATAATTCAATTCTCACTCAAATCAAACAACCAGATCATAACCCCAAATTATCTCATTTAATATATATATATATTACCCTTTTTTAAAACTCGTCCTTAATTTTACCTCAATCACATAATTTTTCACAAAATAAAACTTTCAACCATGAAATAACCAAAACCCTAATCCAAGATGGAAACAAAGTTTTCCACTGTCAACAACAAAATTCCTTAAAATTAACGCATAAGCCTCACATCAATCAAGAACCAAACTTAAAAACCAATAAAAGCGAAAATAAAACCCGATCTACTCAATTCTCTCTCAAAAACAAACAGTCGTAACAAAAACAAAACAAAAGGAAGAGAGAGAAAAAATAGAAACAATATTACCTGTAAACGATACATCAAGACTAATTACTTTAATCTAGCGAGGTTTGATTTTCTAAATTTCTATAAGGACAGAGAGACAGAGATCGGTGCGCTTATCAGAAAGAGAGAAAACCCTAACTCGCGAGAAGAGGAACAGTTCTAGTATACGACACCGTTGATAAGTCTAAAAAGATATACTAGTAACCATTGGCGTTGACGGTGTAATATTTTTAAGTCGGCGGTCTTTTTTGTTTCTGTGGTTCTCCCTCTAAATGAATTGAATCATCCCACCGCCCCGTTGCGCGTGTTTCTAATTTCCTTGCGCGAAAAGCAAGGAAGACCACTCAAAACCGCCCACGAACTTTGCTTGGAGATAACGTTAAGGTTACATGGTATTCTTGAGCTTTTGTGTGACGGGATATTTTGATTGGGTGGAGGTCAGGGTGAGATGTGATTGGTGGGTGAGGGGAATTATTTTGGGGTTGAAATGGGCGTTTAATTATTAGTGAGGGTAGTTTGGGGATTACAAGATTAACGAGCAGGCGGTGTTGGGATATTAATAAAAACGAAGTGGGTCCCACGAGTGAAGAAGATAATCTTTCCAACTGTTTCATGTCAATCTCTCTTTCGTGATGCGAAAGGAATAATGAAGGGAAGACCTAAAAAAGTCCCCAAGATATAGGTATAATCTATATTAGATACCCATTCTATGTTTTATCCAGATTAAGTCATTAACATATCAATAGATTATCAATCAAATCCTTTTGTTGGATTTAGTTAGCAAAATTGTTAAATAATCAGGTGAAATTTATTTGATTTTTTTATTAAAAATCTATGTGTTTATCAAAAAAATCATAACTTCATAAAACAAATTATATAAAAATATATATAATATAAAGTTATGTAGTTTGTTTTATCATGTTATTTAAAGTGAGAATTTCAATAAATTTGATAATTTTATCTTGGTAAAAGAGAAATTTTATGAGTTTCAAATATCACTTAATGGTTTTGTTAACTAAAATGAATGATCGATCTGATTGATAATTTATAGATACATAAAAAAATCTAACTGAGACAAAAAAAAAAAAAAAAAAAAAAAAAAAAGATTAGGAATCTGATCTAGATTTCTTAGGCAGGTCGAGGAGTTTTATGAGTTTCACCCAATAATAAATGTATCTGATACAAATGGAGTACTTCCCTATACGGACTTTGCATCCCGCGGGTTGCGAACCTTCCGTGGACGCAGTTTCAAAATTAGTTTTTTTTTCCTTTGAGGAGATTGGTACTTTCTTTATTGTTTTATTATTACTTTAAAGTAAGACCTCGTTCATAAACTTTGGAAGAAATGTAGGTCTTAAATTTGTCTCTCTAAATTAGCAGTCCTTGTTTTTCATGAGAGCATATAGAAAAGCTAATCGATAGATTTTTATGGTGAATATTATGGGTTTGACCAATTCTGTTAAAGCTCTTATCTTATCTAAAAGCTTAAGTTGTTAAGTAAAATTATTTTTTGATCAACTAAGCTCCGATATCGTGTCAAAAGGCCATCACGTAAAGTCTAATAATATAATTTATATTATTCTCTAATAAATTAATAATATAATTTTTTTTAAAAAATGTCAAATTCTCACTTTTTTTTCCTATTTCTGAAATTTTGTAAACTCTACACCAACAATTTGCAATAACTTCCCCAGCCAATGTTAATTTAAACATGAATAATTATTAATTAAAAGAGCTATAAATAAGTCAATACGTGGTTCATGCACACAGTGGTCAGGCCAAATGATTGATAGCTTTTTAAGAAAAACATTAAGAGAGGAATTTTGGAACTTAACGATCTATAACATTAAGAGAGGAATTCTTTAATACTCTTGTAACTGCAATCCATTTTTTGGAGTTATAGCTCATTTTTTGAGGTGTTCAAATAACTTAAATAATTGAAATTGGTTTCATTCAAAATAGTTTGATTCTGTTAAAGCTTTTCATTAATTATTATTGAATGAATAACTAAACATACATTTAATAACCAGAGTAAAACAAAGACAATAGAGGGAAGAATCATTGTTTTCTATTTGAACAAGCACTGTACAGCTTTGATAGTTACAGATTGCAATATGAAAGCAAAACCTTAAACATGTCGGAATGCTCTATCAAATTGACCAACTTTAGCGTGGATAACATTTACAGAGCTTAGTTGATAATTCAAGAATTATGTTGTTTATGAAACCTATTTACTTCTCTCTGCTAACCAATTCCAAACAATTACCATGCCGGTTGCATCGCCAGTGAAAAATAGGCCACCAGGACCAACCTAAATCTCCCGAACCTCTTTCTTGGCACAGATTCTGCCTCTCTCAGTGAAAGAGTCCAACTCGTACAAGCGAACGCAATTGTCATTGCAGGAACAGAACAGAACAGGCTTTCCTTGAGCATCCTGCATGCCAAATATTTCAAGGATCCCGTGCTTCTCCTCATGTGTATGCACCAGTTCCAAGTAACTTCCATCTTTCATAGCCCATACCTTCATTGTCTAGTCCAAAGAGCATGTCAACAAGAACTGCCACCAGGTAAACACCGACATCACAACACCATTGTGCCCCTTCATTGTCTGTTTGCACTGCAATGTCTCAAGATCTCATGCCTTCACTGTGTTATCCATAGAGCCTGAATACAATCGATTAGTTCCAGCGCCAACACGTAAATAAACAACTGCCTGTTTGTATGCTTTGATGGTTGTCACTAATTTGAATGGATTGGCCTCAAAGCTCCATTTCCATACCAAAACATCACCATTAGCTGCCCCAGCAAAAAGCAAGTCCTTATGAACAGCCAAAGCATAGACTTGACCAACAGGTCCTTCCAAAGAAAAGTCATTAATATTTTCTCCATTCAAGTGCCAAACTTTGACGAGATTAGGCAACCCAATAAAAACCCAACTGCCTTCACTAATAAGATGGCCAATTTCAGCACCAAGATTGACAACCCGATTGCGCTTGCCAGAGTGGCAGTCCCAGATTCTAATAGTGCCATCTTTATTCCCAGTAAAAAGCTTGTCAGACATAATAAGGAAAGCGATACCGCAAACAGCCTTCTTGTGGCCGTCAAGCCTTGCCAATATGGAAAAGCACTCATCAACACTGGTATTACCGATATGGTACCAAGAATGCAAAAACTTAGAGCGATCACCATATGGGCATTCCCGATTCACCATCCAATACTTGCAAAGGCGATGTTCAAGCTCCCTAGGGCGTTCTCGAGAAGGGTTTCTTGAGAAATTGTTGTTGAAAGGCGGTTTTGGTCTTGGTAGTAGGTATCCGTTGCAGGCCTTTGTGCTGTAATTTGTTGGTTTATTGTAGCTGCTATTTTCGACCATCCCGACGTCAATATTGTGGTAGAGAGAAATCGGAGATTTGGAAATTTGGTAATGGTAGATCAACAGAGGGAGAGAGTTTTTATGGTTTCGAGAATTAATCAATTTTGAATGATCGGAAGACTGGTGGAAGAAGTGATTAAATAGATGGCATTGTCGGTTTACTTATGGATTTGTTGATTTGTTTTATTTTCAAGCAATAGCATGGGTATTTCCGTAACTTACCCGAAGAGTAAGTTTTTTTTGGATAACATATTACCCTATTAGCTCAGCGCCAACGTTAACGCAATACACTTGCCAGCTAGGATTTATAAAACCTTAAATTACAAATTTGTCACACTTTTACTCTTAATTTACTATCTGTAAAGGGAGGACACCCATTGATCATGAACAGAGCAAGCAGTTACAAAGACCATGGCATCATCAAGTTAAGCTTTGCTGGAGATGTTCCTTCTTAGCTTTACTTTGAGCAAATTCATTATTCTTCTTTCGTGATCTTCTACATTCCATGTTTATGAAACGTCAGTAATTCAAACTGCATGTCTAGAAACGAAAGTGACTATATAATTAAGGGTGATAAAACAACTGTGTGCGTCAATCATTAAAGCAACTCCTGCGGTATGCCTTATTTCGAAGGAGGCACTTTTCTCTGACCCAATTCTTCAATGGTGGACTTTGTTGGTTAGCTTCCTCTACGATTTTATGGAATTCAACAGGCCCACCTGGTGGAATTCTTATCAATCTCAGTGGATGCTTCCTTCGAATTCTTCTTTTGCTACTGATTTCTATGACAACACGATCAGGCACTATGAGTGAAATCTCGAACTTTCTTAGTTACGCTCGAATTGCCCAAAAGTTAACTTGCCTTATTGTTTTTTTGATTTGCAACACTCACAAGTTGCATGATGTATACAAGTAGTATCACAATAAATCAAAACTAGTGCTTTAATAAATGATTGGTTTTAATTACCACAGAAAGTACGGATCTCCAAGGTAATTAAGATCCAAGTCTAGATTTGACGGCGTTTAGTGTTGGAAGATAGTTAAAGAAACTGGCAGAGATGGGTTTGGGTTTTGGTTTGGGATGAATTTGCACAGCTTTTGCGGTTGGACTTTACGTGCATAGCCAATGTATAATTTGGTTTCACAAAACATTAAAAAAGTAAGGAAAATAGGGACCCAAGTTCATTTCCATTAGCTGGTCCACTGGTTCTGCTAATGGTTTTATAGCAAAAACAGTATGCGAGTCAATAATCTCTATGGCTGGAGCTTGTCCTGCAAGTTTCGCCAACCGTACATGCACCGAAGTAATGGTCTCGGAGGTAGTGGATGAGGAAATTTTAGGCCTCGATAGATAGTGTAAATGGCCTGTCAATTGGCAACTTTCACTTTTTGGGCCTAAATGGGTCGAAGACTATCAACCCGAAATACTGTGGAATGGTCTGGACTGGAGTTTACTAAGTCAGAGTTCGAGAATCGAGAGGGATGGGTGTAATTGAGAATTTAAGAGAGGAGAGTAAGAGAGAGAGAGAGGTAAGGTAATTGAGAAATTAAGAAAGGAAAGTAAATGGGAAAGGAAGGGGAACTATGGGATGATTCAGCTTTGATTAACGCCTTCAACGATGCCATGTCTAAGTATAAAGTCCTCTCTTCCTCTCTCCAAACTTTTCACATTTACTTTTTTTTTCTTTGAGTTCTATTCTAGTTAATTAAAATTTGCTAATTCACATTTAATTTTATTTTATTTTTTGAGTTTTATTCTAGTTAATTAAAATTTGCTAGAAGATTAATTTTCTTAGTCTTCCAATTTTACAGAAAATGCATGGAAAGAAAAAAATCCAGGATAATTCAAGTGATGGAGGGAAAGTTGGTAGCGTCACTGAGGAGGAAAATGCCTCTGCTATTACGACGGTTCATGAAAGTCTTAATGAGACTGTGAAGTAAGTTGTGTGTACTTATAATAAGCTAACTAAAATCCATTTCATTCCTGGACGAGTTTTTTGTATTAATTTTTGAATTGTTGAAGAATAAGATATTAGAATAATACTTAGATAGCTAGATAGATAGAGGCATAGAGCTTCAAAAATATGGGTTTGAATTTAATTACAACATTTTCCAATATGGTATTGATTTGAAGCTTAAGCTGAAATGTGTGGTTGTGTGTGTGTGAATAAATACTTTTGAGTTCTTGATAAGGAGTACCTTTCCATTTGCATGATTCTTTTATTTTTTTCATGATTTTTTCTTTTCTATGCTATGTTCTCATTTCTCGTGCTTTCAAAAATGAAGGGAGGTTGATGAGAGCAGCAATGTTACATTGAACACTGTGATAGAATTAGGAGAGAATAAAAGTCTTTCACCGGCCAAAGTAAATAATTGTGTAGATTCATTTGGACCTGAATCATATATAGATCAGTCTAATGGTGTCCACAAGCAAACTCTCAATGATTGTTCATATTCACATGGTGCAGAAGATTATAACCAGTTACTCAGCCAGTACTATGAGCTTGAGGAGAAGAGGCAAAAGGTTCTACAGCAACTTAATCAGTATGGTGGTTATAACTACCAATATCCTGCTGAAGGTTCAGGTTCTGGTGGTTATTGGGGCACCTGTTCTGCGTCTAAAGATCAATCAGTTGCTTCAACTCAAGCTTCGCTCTCCCCTCTCATCTGTTCATGTTGCCTGTATGCTTGTAATTGTCCAGTGGCTCCATGTTCTTCGTTCTTCACTTATTCTTTGGGCGTTACATCTCTTGGTAAAACATGTACTGATTCTTTTGCCATGATCGACCCTGGAAATTCTTGCCCTCCTGTAGTTAGGAACATTGTCAAAACAGCAATGGATGCTGCAGAAAGAGCAATATCATCCATGACAATGAATATTTCTGCTGTTAACTCTGATACAGAAGGTAAGCATGGTCTTATGGAAATGATGAAAATTGCAGATGAATCTTTGGTGTTCCCTTTCTATATTCCCTATTAGAGATCAAGAAAAGAATATGTTTTAGAATTTAATCAGAACTTTGTAGATAATATAGCAGTATTAAACGGTCAGCATTGAAATGAAATGTCAATTAGATTTTATTTCAAGTATTTTGTTAAAAGTTGAATCATATTTTTACACCTTAAGTGCCAAAACCTCTCTCTTTTCAAACATATGCTGTTCGTTAGATGACTGAATTTCAGAGGTTCAAATTTCTATGTATAATTCACTTGTAATTTAGTTTATTTAGTTGGGTTGTTTGTGAATTTAGTTCTTCAGTTAGCAAGTTGTTTCGTTATGTAAGAAATCGTTAGTCTAGAAAAACCTTACTTGCTTCCCAGGTTTGAAGCAATTTAAGTCGTAAGATAGAGTAGCTTTGGTTACTTTTCTAATGTTAATTGATTGAATATGAAGGTCTACAATTCTTGTCTTGATATGTGAAATATAGAAAGAAAGAAACTGAGAGAAACAATCGTTTATTGTAGATGAGTTACCATGTGATACTATTTAAAAGTTGTTCATCAGTTTGTGAAGGAGAATGATTCACTGTGACTGGAGTTTGTTTTTATATTACTTATGGTCTTTAATCTGAGAGTCTTGGTTCTCTTCAAGGAACCTTTTACTCTTACTGCAAGACTTCGGTCCATTGATCTTGAGCTTCATAGGACCATCTCTGACACTTAGCCTTCCAAAATCCATTCAACTCTGAGAAGCTTTAAATAATTATTCTGCTTTTAGAAGAAAAGTATCTTTTTCAAAAACTTGAATAAGTGGACATCGTTTCTCCATCTGTCTTTTTTTAAAAAATAATTACTTATTTTGTCAATGGATTTCGGCCCATCTAATCCAGAGGAACTGAAACTAAAATAAAATCGTGAATCTGAGGCAAAACTCTGAATCAATGCTTTGAAAGTGAAGTGGTAAATGATCTATAATTTTTAAATAGTACCAGCTTATATGAAAGGCTGAGAGAGATCAATTCAAACATGCTGAGGAAATGAAGTGCCTTTCGGATGTGCTTTTATTTCAATGTTGTATTTATTGTCCATTGTTTTGCAGGCAATAAAGTGGAGAAACATAAAGACAATGAAGGGGAAATAGCTCAAAATACAAGCTCTGAAACAGATCTGACTGTTGTTTTAAATGCTTGGTATTCTGTAGGCTTCTACACTGGGAAGTAAGCAATGACTTCATGTTCGTTTTTATGAATAAATTGCTTTCTGGATTATCAGTCTGTGTCTACATTAGAAAACCTAGTTCCAACGGAAGGCTTGTCAGGTAGCATGTAAATGATAAAAAAGTTATCCACAAAAATTCATGTGATACAATGATAGCTTAATTTTTTAAAAGGGAGGCAAAGTAGATTTGTATGTGGCTAGCCATCAAGGTTTCTGGCATTCTGCTAAGGAAAAAAACCCCTAGAAAACAGCAAGGTTGATCATTAAATTGGCTTTGAACCTGGTGTCTGTTCGCCAAAGAATTTTTCTAACTGATTAGATTTTACATTATGTGTTTGCCTATTTTACTTCTCATATGGAATTCCGAATCTCTGATGTCAATAAGCATGACACTTTAGCACTCTGAATTGATTTGTGACAAATGATTATGCATGTTTTATCTTTTAACTTGTTGAAACATGGTGTTATGACGTAGGTATCTTACGGAGAGATCGGTTGCAAAGAAACGACATGGCTAAGCATTCTTTTTTTATGCAGAACAGAGGCAAAGTGGTTTTGTAGCAAAATTTTGGTTCAGTATGGAACACAAGTTTGTAATCCTTTATTGTGGATTCTGATGTATCACTAATTTATAGTTAGCAAAATGGAGCTCAAAAGAAGCAAATTTCGTGTTATGGCTACAGTTATTGCATTTGTTGCTTTTATAACACTTTGCAGTACTCATTAGTCATCACTTCTAGTTAGGAGAAATTATATGGCTCAACTATCATGTCAGGATATTCACAATTATGATTGCTTTTCTCTGAGCATCCAAAATATTCTGATATGACCAGTCGGGAGTTCTGCCTTGATCAAGTGTAACCACATTTCCTTTTTGGAGAGATCCAGGGTGGTTGATTTTCACTCAAGTGAGGGTTCGAGTCGACACTTCTGTCTTGATTTACTGAAAAAACTGCATGGGCTTCCTCATTAGTTGTTTCACAGTTTACACTAGCTAGTGACCTAGCCTGATTCCCCAAATTAAGAGAGATCTCTCGCTCAACATGATGCTTCCGCGTTATGTTTGTTTAGGGGTATTTAGTATGGAGAGATACGTCAAAAGATATTTGTGATTGTTTTGTCAAGAAATGTTAAATGACAATGTATTTAAGATGTTTTAGGACGTTACATTTTCTCTAAAAAGTTAGGAATATGTTCTTTTAAAATGAGGGAAATCACATCCTTTAATGAAAGGGAACGTATTTTTTTTCTTTTGGACTTTAATGCCTTTATTTTTATGAAATGGACCAAGATGCCCTTACTTTTTTAGTAATAACACTATTCTTAACGCTTTAATCCATGGTTCTAAATGTAATTAACATAATATGTTTATGGGCACAATTATTTAGAAAAAATTATTATGTTAGACAAATTGGTTATAAATGTAATTGCATATTATATATGTTTCAATGTGCATAATAATTTAGAAAAAAAAAAACATATTATGCTGATAAATTCTATAAATGAATCAAACACAACAAAGTCACTGTATAAGAAATTTTCAATTTCAACCAAATACAAATATAACATTCTTAAGGAGGACATTCTCAACAATCACATTTTCATGAAAACATCTGAAAATCTGCATCCCAAACGCCTCCTAGATGGCATTGCAGGGTTTCACTACCCTCATGCCTGTACTGTATATTTAAATCGAGGGCTTTTAATCCTGAAAGTAATCATATGCTATACTAATATCATACACCCGAGATTAGCACGAAAACACAATCCTCATATGTGTGACCTATTGGAAATCTGTCGAATTCTAAAGTTTGTATATTGACTTGAGATTGTACATTTGTATTCAGTTAAACTTGTGGAAGAAATTTGAACATTTAGTTACAGCTAAGCTATCCATGCAAATTATCACAGTTGTGAATCACCGTTCCAGTTTTTATTTCATTGAGCCAAAATTGAGTTGAAAGGCAATTGTCAGGATTTATTTTGTGCAGATTGATCTATTTTTAATAGAAAAGAATAATCATACTAACAATGCCTGTTAGGAATTCAATACCCCATCGTCCCCCACTGGGCCCTGGATGTTGATTAGCATAGAAACAACCCACAAAGCGGTGGCATCTACTGGAAATCTGTCCTGAGCCTGTGTGCATTCCCTTGTACATTTGTATTCACTTAGTAAGCTTGCATTTTTCTTTTACATATCAACGAGCAAATTGAAGGCAATGTTTCTATGAGCAATGAACTTAGTTTTCTAAGAAAATAATATTTTATTTTTCTTGCCTTCCAAATCAATTTTCATTTTGTTCCCAAGTATTGCCTTTTGCCCCAAAAGCAAACGGAAAAGCTTTTTTACTGATAGATAAGCAAATTCATACTTTCACTTTTGCTGCAGCTTCCTTGATTTGTTCAATTGTGAATACACCGAAGCAGTCATCATCTGTCACTGCATTTACTGCCGCAAGTGCAAGATCATCAACACTAACAGGTGGTGCCAACAGGAGATCCGATGCTGGAAGGGAACTTAGGGGTTTGGTGAAGTTCTCAATAGCACGGAGAATTCTCTCTGCCGGTTCCCCAATCAAATCCAGAGGAATCTCAAAACCATCAACCCTCCTTCTTCCATAGATTAAAGCAGGTCTCAAAACAACACCTGAGGAAATTCAAATTTAGGGAAAATGAGAAGCAATACAGAGGTTAAAAGAATCGCTTGGAATCGGAAGTGGAAGGAATGGATTAGCTAGAAGGCCGCCCCTTCAATAAGCAGAGGTTGTATTCTGATACAATCCCTCCCAGCCAAAAACAAGTCAGTCTGCTGATAGCATTAACCATCGTTTACCAGGAATCAACTATTTCAAGTTAAGTGCAGTTGCAAGTGCAATAACAAGGTTCTAACGATCAAAATGCAGCACACACAAGCCTGCTCAATGTTTGTTACTCGTTTGCTCAATGATTAAATTTGTGCTCGTTGACCTTATGGTGCATATGACTAGTTATATAAATTACTTTTAAAACAAATTTCTACTTTACAACTCACTTTTCACAAAAACCAGTAACACAAAGCTGCAATGTACACATGAGAGCATCTTAAAAGTTTTGGAAACATGACCACAGTTGGAAAAGGCATATGAATTACCAGAATTCGGATATTTGGAGAGAACCTCTGACTCTGCCTTCCTCTTTCCTGTGAAGTATCCAGATGACAGTACAAATGATGGTAGATTGTAATCATGTACTGAGATCAAGATAAACTTTGGAATTCCTGCAGAAAGAGAGGATTGAGATTGTAAGTAATCTCCAGGAACAAAATTCTAGACTAACCGAGGTTCATGGTATGTAATCAAGAAATCTTAAAAAGGACACAATATGTTTAATCAAATATTGCCATTGTTTATCAGTGCCACTATTAAAATAAATTATTCTTAATTGGTAGGATATTCTCAGTCCACGATGATTTTGTTACATATAATTTTCTTTCTACCATGTTTCATTTCAGTAATAATCATTAGAGGGTCTAAAACATTGAAAATCTTTAGAAGGAAAATGTCAGTTAACGTTGAATAAGAATTGCTATTCTTCCTCTCAGCTTTGTAGCCAGGAGGCCATAGTTGAAACAGAAGAAATCCATAAATACACTGCCAACATTTCAATCTCAATGCAGCTATGAACTTCTCTTCTATCTTTTCCCTTTTCTCTAAGATATAACACTCGAGGTTGTCTTTGTTTAAAACTTCTGCTGGTCTCTTTTTTAATCTCCTTTTTCTGTCAAGTCAAAATCTATCCTTACATATACTTGGCAACCCGATATTTCTTGCAACTAACACAGATTCGAGCAAGATAGAGACTTAAGTCAACAATTCTAAAGGGTTTGGTCAGACAGTCAACAATCAAGTCATTAAGCGAGAAGAACTCGAGGTGCTGTTTGGTAATAATGAATAAAGTGATGGGAATAGGAATGTAGGAATCGGAATAGTATTTGTATTCTAATACCGTGTTTGGAATACTAATAAGGAATCGGAATGTAATTTAAATTTTTTAATATCTGATTTTGTATATAAATATAAATAATGATTAAAAAATAATTTTATTAAACTATAATAGTTATAAAAATAATAAGGTGATGGTAGTGATTGTGGTGGTGGTGGTGGCGGTGGCGGTGGCGGTGACGGTAGTGATTGCGGTAGTGATAGTGGTTGTGATTATAATAATAATGGTTGTGGTAATGGTTGTGGTTGTGATGATGCTAGTGATGGTTGTGGTTGTGATGATGCTAGTGATGGTTGTGGTTGTGATGATGCTAGTAGTGGTAGTGGTTGTGATGGTGCTGGTAGTGGTTGCGGTGGTGATGGTGGTTGTAGTTGTGATGGTGGTGGTAGTGGTAGTGGTAATGGCGGCGGCAGCGGCGGTGGTGGTTGTTGTGATGGTGGTGGTGATGAAGATAGTGTAGTGGTGTTGGTGGTTGTTGTAATGGTGGTTGTGGCAAAAGTAGTTAATAGATAATAAATAAATAAAATACATTATTATTTTGAAAAAAAATTCAATCCCATTCCTTGTTTTTTATTCCCACATTTTATGTGGAAATGAAGTTGTATGTAAATTTTCATTCCCATTCCTACTCTTCATTCTCATTCCCATTTCATTCCTTTTAACCAAACAGCTACAATGTGGGAATAAAACTTCAATTCCCATTCCCACCACTCTATTCCTGATTACCAAACAGCACCTGATTGTTTTGCCAATTAAGATAGAGATTTAAGTTCACTGGAACAGAATTCTTACCAAATTCTTTGGCAGCATTGACTGCAACAATGTTAGCCTCGCCATTAATTCTTTGCATCTGCTCCTCGCTACCAAAACCTCCGATTGTTGAAACTACTGCAGTCGCCCCAAATAGTACTTCATCCCAGTTTGTATAGAAAACATCTCCTGCATAATATGAAAACAAATTGAGCACCTTACATCAGTCATGAAACGATGCATGCATGAGATAAAACTAAGCAACGAGTAGACTCCTATCAAAACACATTTAAAATAGTAGGAGCATACAACCACTTCGGAACCATGCCAAAATCTTTTTTAAGGAAAAAAAAAACTCCAGAACTAATCCAATAATCTGCTTAAAGAGCAAAGGGCTTATTGATTATGATCCTAAAAACTGATTTACAACACCGTCAACATATGAAAGACTGAGTAAAGTATAGAACATGCCTTGTATCCAAGTAACCTGATCTATCCATGAACCGGGGTAACTAGGGCGCCCTGACCTGAAAAATGAATCAAAGTTTTAAACTTGAAACAAATAAACATGATAAAGAAAACGTGAGTAAAACAACAAAACTGTAGACAAGCTTCTTAACAGATAGCCAATTCTTTCACAAGGGTTGTCAGTTGTATAACAAAGAAATCAATCCACATAATCCCTAAAGAAACATGCACGCATCGGTTATTTGAAGCATATCCCTCACCTGCTTAAGCTTGTAACCTCTATGCCCTTGGACACAGCAGCCTTGCATATTGCAGAACCCACAAAACCACTGCCTCCTAAGACTACAACCTACTAGGAAAAGCAAAGCAGTGGGTAAGTAAAAGAGACCAAACGTGAGCTAAAAAATAGCACAAACAAATAGAAGAATACAGCGATCAACTCATGGCAATTTGTACCCGTTCGGTCTTTACATCAGCTACAACATCAATTGTTGTGGATTTGAACCCATCTTTTACGCCTACTTCTGCATAGTTGCATTTTACAACAGACTTGCACAATTTGGAACTAGAGAGTAACGTTGATTAGTCAGTTTCAGTCTTAAAATCACAAAAATTCCCAAAAAAAAAAAAAAAATCAATTTCAATAAAATGCAAGCTACGTAATTGTTACAATTTAAAAATACGCTCTTAATTACACAACTGAATTAATGAAAAAAATAGTAAATAAACATCACCGCATGTACAATAAATATCATTTCAAAATTTAAACAACACAAAAAAGAAGAAATAAAAAGGCTAGAGAAAGATTACCGGTGGTTAAGAGAGAGCGAATTTAGCCGAGAAGGAAAAGAAGCTCGAGAGAAAGAAGAAGAAGAAGAAGAGAAGCCGAGAGTGGGAATGGTAGAGAAGGCTAGAAACGACGTCATTTTTATTACCTTTGGAACCTGAAGAACGAGTTTGTTTAAGGGCAGTTCAGTTCAAGAGCAAACACACAGAAAGTACAAAAAACTAAATGGAGTGAGGAGATTAGAACGAAGGAAATACAGAAAACCCCCAAAAAAAAAAAAAAGCCACGTGTAGTCGAATGACGATGCACGAGTGACGTGGACAAACTCGTTTAACAAGTATAACCGCCCTTATGAATCACTGCTTGGCCTCTTTCGACTCATAAACGGCGTCGGTTTGTCCTTCCAACTTGCAATCCCTAAAATTGACTTCTTTTGCTAGGAAAGAAAAAGTTGCAAGCTTTGCAGTAGTCAGTCTGTGTGTGCAGATTGAAAATGGCGAGAACTACCAGCAGAGACGCACAAGCTCTCTTCCATTCCCTTCGTTCGGCCTATGCTGCCACTCCTACTAGCCTCAAGGTTTCTTTCTCTCTCGCCCTCTTTTATCTTTTATTTGCTCAATTTTATGCTTTTTTACGTTAAAGCTCTAAATTGTTTTATTTTTGGTGTCCAGATCATCGATCTTTATGTTGGTTTTGCAGTTTTCACTGCTATGATTCAGGTATGACTGTCCAAAAAATTTCCTTTTCATTCCGATGCGGTGATTTTTGAGTTTTAAAATCTGATTTAAAGGATCTGTTTATTGTTTCGATGCCATAGTAATGTTAGGATTTTGATCTGGGATAGTTCGATTGGATCAGTGTGCAGAATAACATCAGATCCAGAAACTTTAGGATTATTAGAACGAATAGAATAAACAGCTATGTGGTGGTATTTGATAACTGATTGTGCCAACCTATCTGTCAATTGCCTTTTTTCTTCTTTTTTCAAACAAGCTATAATGTTGATTTTCTTTTGTTGAACAGCCTAGTAGCGTTGGTTATTTTACCTGATTGTGTGAACGCCAGCATGATTTTCGCACTCTTATAAGGTAGAGTGTAAAAAATTAAAGAAAATAAAAAAATAAAAAATAAAACCAAAAAACAAAAAAACAAAACTGAGGGAGAAGGGCCTGGAGAGCCAAAAAGTTGATGATATGGGTCATGAAATGCGTAGCTATTGTTCATAGTCATGTTGATAATGTTCTCTCTATTTTATTTCTCCTCTTGGTCGATGGAGCTGTCTTATTTGCTCATATGAATTTCTGCTACACGTTGCATCACTTTTTTTGTTTTGGTGCACTTCCTTAAGTTCCCATTTAGCATTGGATGGTTAGAGCCAATAAATTGGATGTGTCTTGGGAAAGAGGGAGGAAGAAGGTGTAAGCATTCATTTACTCATTCTGATGTGGTTTCAGAACTTCAGGATATGATTTTCGATTTTGTTGGAGTGCTAATCACCACACCAGCATGTTCAGAAATTGCCTAGAAACCAATGAGCCCTGCAAGATACTTGATGAATCCCCGATGCAACAGTCATTTTTCCCTTTTAAAGTGCTCATTTTAACTAAAATTGAAAAAGAATTTAGCAACATGCCCTTTGGCATAAGGATTGGTGTTAGAATTTTTTTTTTTGGGGGGGGGGGGGGGGGGGGGGGGGGGTGGGGGAGTGATAGAGACCTCAACTGGTGGTGGTATAGAAGCCTTAGAGTGGAGAGAAGGGAAAGAAAAGGAGAATAAAAGCCTTTTGAGGTCACTGTTGTTCCTGTAATTATTAAGTCAAAAAAAAGAAAGAAAGAAAGAAAGAAAGAAAGAAATTGAATGCAACAACCAAAGGGATTTTTACGGTAAAATAATTGTCGATAGATTGCTTGCCTCTTAAACAAGTTGACACACCTACAAGATTTTAGGTACTGTGCCTGTGCAGTACATGCTCATTGAGCTTTATAAACACCCTCCAAAAAGCATTAAGTTTCCTTTTAATGAATGGTATCTGGAATCAAACATTTATGGTTAGATGTACAGTGCACACTGATAAATGGAAATATTATAAGAGTAAGATCGTCTATGCTAATCTCACACCCTTCTTTTGGTCTCTGCCTTCGAAAAGATTCATTTCCCAGTTTCTTCTTCCTTTCATGCATTATTTACTTAGAGGAGGTGATGCAATCTCTGAACTTGCTGGTTCAGCATTTTCAATGTCTTCTTGCCACTTTATGAATGATTTATTTTCTTGTTGAGTTGGAAGAGATAAGTAATCTAATCCAGTTGCTCTTCTAGAATTACACGTGTTTTTTGGCATCAAAGATGAACCTTTTTTCTTTTTTTTTTTAATTCACCCAATGACCAATTTAGGATGTGATTTTATATTGAATTTTTCTAACATATTTATCCCCCTCCCCTTCCCCTCTCTGTATCTGGCTGTGTTACGATTATAATCTGCTTGTATGATTTGTTCAATGTAAGTTTGGTTATGTTGTCCAGCTTGAAAGCATTTTTAACTTGTTTTGGTGATCAACAGGTTGTTTACATGGCCATTGTTGGGTCATTTCCATTCAACTCTTTTCTATCTGGAGTACTTTCTTGTGTCGGGACTGCAGTCCTTGCTGGTAAGTAGTTATTGCATTATAGGGTGGGAATTGCTGTTACTGTTCATAATAGAGAGATTAATTTGTTTCACTTGTCACAGTTTGTCTCCGTATCCAAGTGAACAAAGATAACAAGGAATTCAAGGTAAGACAATTCTGTTTATTTTCTGTCTTACGGTTTTAATCTTTTTCTTTAAGTTTTGTAGAGCTGTGCTACTCTCTTTGATACTTGCTTTTAAACACTTGCTCACTTAATGCGTACACCTCACAACCATTTGTCTTACTCCAACTGATAACCGGTCATTGATTTGGCAAAGAGACGACAAACTGAAAAAGTTTGATTTGACATTTGGCCTGAAATTTGTAAAGGCAGTTACCAGTTTGAGTAAAACAAGAGTCTTTACATAGGAGGTTTAAATGAGTGAGTTTTTAAAAGCAAGTACGGAATTGAGTGTTGATAGCTTTCCTTATTTTTGTACTACAAACAGATTGTTGATGTTTCTTTCAACCAATTACAGGATTTACCTCCAGAGCGTGCCTTTGCTGATTTTGTCCTCTGCAATTTGGTGCTCCATTTGGTCATTATGAATTTCCTAGGTTAAGATTGAGCTCTTCTGGTCTGCTGGCTCCATTTTTCGTTGGGTGTAACTGTGAAACATATTTATAGAGTGATTTTCATCAATTCAGCTAACTTTCTTAGGACATGGCTCATACGTGAATTGCTGAATTGCAGTTGGGATTTTTGTTATTTAGTTGTTTGCATTGCTAGTAAGAACATGATATTGGGGGTACTGAAAAATTGCAGCAATCAAACTTGTTGTGGTAAATCCTTAGCTAGAAAAGTGTGCCCTTAAAACTTCTCCCTCCCTTCCCTTGAATAATTGTCATGATTGCGAGTCGTGGTTAGATATGCACTTTGATTAAAACAGAAAAGTTTCGTGTTTTTGGCTTAAAGGTCCAACATTCTGACTTGACTCGTGTTCAAGGGAAGAAGTCAATTGTTGTTATTTTGTAACTTGCACAGTCGCATTTTAGGACTTATCTTGGATTCATTGACTGCTTTCGCGTGACGGTTTCACCTGAGTCCTAGCATGCCATGTCTTGTAGATGCAGGTAATATAGCTGTTCAGATGAACCCAGGGAAATAAAATTTGCCCAGAATATAAATCATGTATATGAAATGATAGGGTCACGTTCTTTTTATCTTTTCTTGAGAATAGACTGGAAGTTAATGGAAATTTTTAATTTTTAAGAGACATAAATAACTCTTCAACAATAGTAAATTTTTTGTCTACAAGTGGATTTGATTTCACATTAAATTTTATTCTAAAGTGGTTAGGGATTTTATTTGTAGTATCACTAATAGCTGGCTGAGTGCTCAAGGTTAAACAAATCTTGGTTTTCAATAAAATCCAAAATACAAATCTAAAACATTTTGAAACACTAATTTTTAATGTTGCTAAATGTTTGACGATCTATAGTATAAAAAGCCATTCTATAGCTTTTTATCAAACAACTAGAGTGGCACTTTTGCATGGAATAAGAGTCTAGCTGAACATTCCAGTATTGAGGAGCTTGAATCCCAGCATTGTTCTTCAAATACTGTAGCTAGAAGCACCTGCATAGCATCACCATAGCAATGTGTTCCTTTTTCTTAGTGGTTATGAGGAATAACATCATTCTTCTCAACTTCGGTTTCTTTTTCAAAAAACTTAATTGGGCTTTGCAAATCGCCCTCGAACACGAGGTCTCCCCTCGGATATGGTTTCTCGGCAAGCATAGTGTAATATATAGCAAGAATTGTTGTAGATTAAATGCACAATTTCTAAATATAGGGCTAAACATATAATATGGGTGCAAAAGCACATGCATAGAGAGTACGGAAATAGATTCCAACCTTAATGTTGTTGTTACATTTCCTTTGGTCTTCCTTCTTCAGATACCTTAGAATTCTCTCTTTCCTCTCTTCTGCTGTATACTGGCCAACCTTTTTTGTCTAGATGTTTTAAGTTGTCGCCATCTGATTGTATTCAAGTTGCTACATGAGAATTTATAAACCGAAGCACCAAAAAGATAATCTATATATGCAACGACAGTGAGCACTAAAGTACCTTATATGAAAATCCTATCTATCATCATGCATAGGCGCCTAAAAAATATGTGCAGAACCATACTTCTCCAGGATGAGGACGCGCAGGCGTAAAAGTTGGCGTAAACTCACCAAAATCCTCCCCGTACCCATAAACGTCCGGTGACTGGAATCCGCCATCAAAACTCTGAATTTTGGCAATGTCACCACTATGCCTCATTTTACATTCCATTAATATGGGCACATTCATTTCCAAAATCCTTGGTGTTTTGAATTCGATACTGAAATCGGCGACATGATCTCAGATTACCCCAGAAAAATATCAAGCGCATCATCCTTTTTTTGATCATTCAAAGTGGTCATGATCTTGATGATCGCCCAGCATTGCACAACTAAGATTAGAAATTGCACCACTTGACATACTTGTGCTGGAAAATGAATCGGTGCTAACATAACTTTGATCTTCTGCCATTATAGATGTAATCTCTGAAAATTCATCTGGAGAAAAAATGATGGTCAGAAAAGAACTCGGGAATGGAAGTCATTGAGAGAAGAAGATGGAAGTTGGTTTTTGGGGTTTAGCTTTTATGCCTTGTCTATCACTAAACCTTTATGGCTTCAACATATTTATAGGAATGTGGACGATGGAAGGGCTTTTAGGCTAGTTGTTCTGCCCGGAACTGTCCGTGAAGGACATAGGCTTAGCTTGAGACATAATTAGTTAACAAAGGCATCTAGCTAATGAACTCAACCGACACCGATCACGGTGGCGGATGCAAGATCAAATGTTTACGAGGGTCAAAAATAAATATTTATAAATTTATCATGATTTACACAAATATATATGTTATTGACCGAATAGAGTAGGATTCACAACTAATAAATTTGACAAAAACCAACGATAATGAACAAACAGATTTTACGTGAAAAACCCTTAAACAAATTAAGAAGAAAAATCACGGACAAGATAGAAAAACTTCACTATAAGAAATAATAGGAGTTATAACCTCTCTCTATACTACAAGGAGAAAACAATAAATTTCTCTCTTCAAAAAGGAAAAACACTATATTTTTCTAGGAAATAATCTCTCTCTCTCTCTCTTTTGGGATGGATGGAGGGATACATTTGAATGAGGTGGGGAGGCCTATTTATAGACCTCCCCTTGCTTGCACCGCCTCACTTAAGGCGATGCATGCAACTACCATAACTTGCACATGCAAGTCTGGTCGAAGTAGTTCCGTGGACAAGTTGTACACGGAACGACTTCTTTTTCAACAATATATATATATATATATATATATATATATATATATATATATATATATATATATATATTAAAACAATCTCACAACACAATCACTTAAAATAGAGATTTTCGTTTTTTCAAGTCACAAAAATTATCTATAAGCGAATTTATACTAAAATTTTCAACAATTTCTTTTTCAATATACACTAACAAACAATCGGAAAGAAAGTCATCTTCTATGTTGTTACGAGCCTTAGTCTTGACTATGCTCATAGCTAAAAATGACTGCTCGCATGATAGTCGTAGAAATTAAAAGAATAAAAATAAGTGTTATCACTCTATACACAAGTGGATACCTTTTAAATTTTCTTGTCTTCATCGACCATTGATACAAATAAGATATAGTAGTAATAGTAATCTTGAGTAAATTATAAGTTAGTCTATGTAGTTTTTTTTTTTAAATGGATTAATTAGTTCTTCTTGTTCCAAAAAAGAAATTATTTAGTTTTGTATTTTAAATTTTCTTATAATTTAATATTTTTTGCTTTTTAATATTTAAGGAATTATATATATATATATAGAAGAGTTAATGAAAAAATAACATTTTTTGAAATAAAATAATGTAAATTGAATATGATCATTGGTAAAAAAACTAAATAATTTTTGAAAAATAAATGGAGTACTATTTTATAATTTACTATGGTAATCTTAAATGGAAATTATTAAATCTTTATATTTTTTTAAAAAAAAGGCCCAAATGAAAACCAAAATCAACTAGATTTTACGATAATAAGGCCGATCTAAAACGAGGACGCAATGCTAGAGAGGTCGAAAACTTGATTTGACCCATTACCATCCTTACGCAAATATGACCTTTTTCAAGTAGGCTGCAGAGAGAGCAAAAATGGGAGGGGGCCGGGGCCCTCATAGACTTCAACATGGGTCCGCCCCTAACGTTTGTAATTAGCTAGATATGTTATTTTATTAAAGTTGTGACCATGCTTGATTAAGCTATAAGTGCGTAAATTTTGCAACTTATAACGAGCAGATTTCTAATTCGCTTTGTTTGTTTATCCTTGACCATAAGTCAATTATGCCCTTACGTGTCGACATAAGCTCTCGGGATATATATATATATATATATATATATATATTCGCTCACTAATTAGTTTTTCTAAGAGTAAATTATATATTAGTCTCTCTCATTTTGAGAAATAAATTAATCCATCCCTCTTGTTTTTAAAAAAATAATTATTTAGTCCTTATAATTTGAAATTTGCTTATAATTTAGTCTTTTTTAATTTATTTTTATTTTTTAGGATATAGAAAAAAAGAAAAAAAATATTAAAAAATAAAAATATTGATAAGAAAATAAGAGATTTTACAGATTAAAATAATATTAAATCAAACATGGTCAACACTAATTAGAGGACTAAATAATAGTTTTTGAAACAAGATTGACTAATTAATGTGTTTCTTGAAAGCAAGAGGACTAATTTATAATTTACTTGTTTTGCCAACACGGTTCGGGGTTTGATGGTTTTTTGTCTAATGGATGCCCTTCAAAAAAAAAATCGACAATCCAATAAGATCTATTAATGATACAACATAGGTTTGGATTCAAAACCATTAATCTATGATATGTATGCGTTTTTAACTTCCTATCTAGATATATTAATTATAGGCGTGAGGTCGTTAGTGACTAGCTAATCATTTATGGGCTTGAGGTCGTCGGTGACCCGTCGGCCTTGTTTATGAGCGTAAGATCGTTAATGACCCATCAATCTTTTTTATGTGCATGAGATTGTCGGTAACCCTTTAGTCTTATTTATGGTCGTAAGGTTGTCAATGACCCGCGAGTCATTTTTATGGAAGTGAGGCCGTCGGTAGCTTCGTCATTTTGTTTATGAGCATGAGGTTGTTAATGACTCGTCGGTCATTTATGAGTGTGAGGTCATCGGTGACTTATCGATCTTGTTTATAAGACACGTCTATCGTGTTTATAGACGTGAGGTCGTCCGTGGCTCGTCATTTTTTTATAGACGTGAGGTCATCGGTGACCTACCAATCATTTATGGGTGTAAGGTCGTTGATGACTCGTCAATCTTATTTATGGATAAAAGATCATCAATGACCCACGAGTAGTGTTTATAAGTGTGAAGTCGTAAGTGACCCGCCGCTTATTTATAGGCATTAGGTCGTCGGTGACCCACCATTTTTGTTTATGAGTATGAGATCGTTAGTGACCCGTTAATCATTTATGGGCATAAGGTTATTGGTGACTCGTCAATCCTATTTTTGTGCCATGGAGATTCCAAAGTGAAAAGAAAGTGTAGGTCAACAATGAAACTTGGGAGTTGTAGGTTGTCATCTCTAAAAGATTTATGCACAATACCCGAAGCAATTAGATCAACTAGTTATTGAACCTTGGTTGCATAAACTTTCTCCTTTTACTTTTCTTGAGCCATAAGTTTTTCTTAAAAAGATGGTTTAGCCAATGATGGTGCATACAATCTAGGAGATTGTTAGGATTCTTGCACATCATTGGGAGGGTAGTTATCTAAAGGCCGATATGGAGGTTGAGTCTTTTTGATGGGTCAAGGGTCATTGGTGGAGACACGTTCTCTTGGTAGAGAGAAACTCATTACAAATACGCAATCTTCTTGACAGGAGTAAAAATGTCAAATTAATTATGCTTGAAAAGAATAGCAATTGAGATAGAGATGAATGTTTCCTCAACTACATTACATGGGTTGATAGATGGTTGGGGCCAATTCCATTAATGCATTATGTGGCAAACATCGATATAGAGGAAAGAGAGTTTTTAGTTGCGAGATATCATTTTGGAATATGAAAATTGGGATATATCTCATCTTTGAACTTCTCTTTCGAATTCTATTCATGTGTCTTTATTATCCACCCCTCTTACTTGAGTCTTCTCTTTAATAGACATATTAGTTTAGGGAGAAAATAGTTCAGGGTGCTATACTTGCTAAGTCCGGATATGAGTTTATTACTCAAGTTCCCTACCTAACGGAGTTGAATACGCAATGAAAGAGCATTTCGAGCCTAAAATTAGCATAAAAGAATCATTTTTTTCTTATGGCAATTGGAGTGGCGGCATCTTCCTACTAACGTTTTTTGTTTCTATAGGGGAATGTCATATTCTCCTATATGCCAAAGGTGTGGCGTGGCCCAAGAAACAATGATTCATATTCTTCATGATTGTGCTACTTGGAAAGAATATTTGACGATAACTACATTAACTCGAAAATCTCCTTTGATTTCTTCTCGACTTTATAGGAGGACTAGTTCCATGTTAATGCTTTCTGCCATTCTACTCCTTAGCACTAACACGAGTCCTTTATTTTTACGTGGGAGATTATTTGGTGTGCACGTAATAAAAAAAAATATTCAAGGCACTCTACTTACTTTTGGATGTCGGGTGAGGATAATTCACTCTCCGAATCATGATCGTGTTATAGCTTTCGAATCTTCTTCTTCTTCCAAGTAACCTAGCTCACGATGTAAGATTTCTTGATTAGCTCCCTCTCGAGACTCAATTAAGTGTAATGCTGATGGTAGTTTCTTGAGCTTGACTATCCGTGTTGGGATTGGAGGTCTAATCCGAGAAAATTATGGTGTGTGGAAAATTGGTTTCTTAGGTTATCTTAGGGCACTCATCTATTATGATGGCAAAGTTAAAACGATTCATCGGGATCTCATTATTGCTTGGGACTCGTGGCTTTTGAAAAGTGATTATGGAGACCGATTCTAAAAACCAATCAATACTATCGGTAATGGTGTTCTACGGACTCATCCCTACTACAACATCATCATAGACATCCATTTTCTATGTTAAAGACAATGATGTATATCCTTTAACCATACTTTGAGGGAAGGTGATCGGATTGCCGACAATCTCGTCTATATTGGTTTACCGAATGATACTCTTTTTCGAGTTTGAAATCATCCTCCGTGAGGCATTGGAGACATTCGTTTAGTGATGCTTGTTAATGTTTGTTTCTTAAGGCCTTAGCTTTGCTTCCATCCTCTGTACCAAAAAAAAAAAAAAAAAATTCATTCACTCTATGAATTCATGTGTCTAGTATCAACACCAATTTTATTTTTCATGCTTGCCTTTATATGTGACGCTAGTTCCCTTGCATGTTAAAACACAAATCTAGACGATCCACGATGCTATTGGAATCATGGCACCCCGATCCTTGAAATTGAGTTCTTCCTATAAATCCATTCTAAAAATATAAAAGAGGAGGGGGGTTTCAAGTCTCTAAAATGCCAAGTTGATGTTTGATATTTTTGTGAGATGGTAAAGAAAACATTTTTAGATTCCTATCATTCAAATTAAAAAAAAAACAACTACAAAAACAAACTTTTTTTTCTAGTCATAACCATATATCCATATTAAATGTTGAAAGCACGTTATATGATTTTTATACAACACGTCAACAAATTATATGTTTTTTTTTAAATATTTATAGATAGTAAAAATATTTTGATATTAACCGAAACTAAATCAACAACTCTTTAAACTAAACTAATATTAGAATATGTTTAATTTTTAGTCAATAATTAAAATATCCGTAAGCCAAATTAACTCAAATCTAATACAATTAAAAAATAATTATAACTAAATATCAATGAATAATTAAAAAATAATTGTAACTAAATATCAATGAATAATGAAAATTAAATGATGATTGTAGTCAAACTAAAACAACCCCAATCTTACATTGCAAAAAACATGCTATGTTTATCTATATAACATTATTTCATGGAATATGTTTAGAGCACTTTGGCCGCTGGGCTAGCTATCTTCGTACATGACTCGGAGGCATACTGGCTCTAATCTCACCTCTCTTTTTGCGAACGATTATAGACGGATTTTTTTTTTTTTCTTTTCTGGAATACTAAGAACAATTTGACCTTCACCTGAAAACTATGACCCAACAATTTTCTTTACTTTGAAGGCAGTAGGAAAGTCTATTTCCTTAAAGATACCAATCATAAATTCAACCTTGAAAACACCAATCATAAATTCGTTAGCCAGCATTTTCCATTCTATAAGGCAAACATACGATTGAATTGCATGATGTCATACAATAAGAGTAACTGCGCTGTCTAAAGAGTTAAATTCATGCGATAACGAAGATATTGATTCAATTAAAGGCTCGTTTTGTGACAATGAATTGCCTCAATTTATTTATATATATAAAAAAAATCTTAAACTTGTACATCGACATAAGTGAAAAATCAATTCAAATATTTTGGTAGTCTCTTTATTCATTTTATATGTGAGAAGAAATGCAAGTGATAAATGATCATTTAATCCAAATCCAATAGATATCATTTCAACCCATTTGAATAGATAGAGGTTTTATATGAATAATTATTATTTTAGATTGGTTATAGATATCCACAAATATCTTTACTTGTGGAGTAATGTACAGATGTATAGATGCTGTTACTACCAAAAATATATATATTAATATTATACCCATATATATATATATATATATATAATCATTTTATGCTATGTTAAATATATATATTAATCCAAATCCAATCCCATTCGAATCCTACCAAAAATATATATATTAATATTATACCCATATATATATATATATAATCATTTTATGCTATGTTAAATAATAGATAGTACTCGGATAATGGATGTTTGATAAATTGAATATAAATATTTAATCATTTGATGAATAATTGATAGAATATGAATACCTGAAACCCATATGAAAATACTCTCAATAATTCTTTTAAAAGATGTTAACGATTCCAGAATACATTTTGTTAAGGTAAGAAAATGTATATTTTTTCAATATTTATAACATACAACCAAACAAATATGTCACTGTTACTATATATTATTACAAAAACACAACTTTCATTCCCATAAAAAACCACTCGAATTTTTCGTAGTAAAAACACCACTGCTATCCTCTACTGTTTTGGAGACACTACTTTAACGTTATACTTCTTTGTTTTAAGAAAAATTACCAGAATAATTATTTAGTCAAAACTTTTAAGTACTGTACTTTTTTTATTTTAAAAATTTTAGAATTCAAATTTAACAGGATGAAAGAATATTTTAGAAAAAAATAAAATTGATGTGATATAAAATTAATATATACTTTAAACTGTATGAAAATCCAAACAGAACTAACGTTTCAGACAGATCGAGTAATATTTTTTTTTATGGTGCAATGGCATTCAGTTTCTGTCCTGAGTTAAACTCGCTGGAAGGAATATTAAGATTTACGAGAGTGGGGGTGATTGGATCAGGAGTCAAAGGTGTTGATCCTTGATTTGTCCTTGCATTACCTTTCCTCGACGTTTAACAGAGTCACAGTGAATACAAACCCGCCCGCATCCTTGAAAACCCACGCGGGAGGCTGGACTCACTCCCAGTCGCACTGAGTGCACTCATCAATCAATCAACCAACACCACGAAAAATTCCCTTCTTTATAATTCCATTCCACCGGATAAAAATAGCCAAGAATACTACTGCTTTCACTCCTTCCCTATCTTAATAACAATAAAGCTCAACTCAAGACATGATCCTTTCCACTCCTGCTCCCCCTTCAACGTTCCTCGCTACTACCAAGCCATCTCCACCATTTCTTAGGGTTTCTAAACTCTGCTTTTTAACGTGTTCTTCTTCTCTTTCCCTTCGTTTTAGATCCACTGCGCGACGCTCTACTACTTGTACTTGTGTCCTCCCTTCTCTCAACTTTCACGCAATGGCTGAACTCGTTAAGGATAAAGAAGTCTTCGCTTCTGCTTCTGCTCAAGTTGACGACGAGAAGAAGAAAGACAAGGCTCGCTCGCGCTCGTTTCTTGATGCAACAACTGAACAAGGTATTTCGAACTTCTTTTATTTTTTTCTATTGTGTGTTTGGTTGGTGAGAAAATGCAAGAAATATTAAGCTTTTCATTTGTTTTGTTAGATATGATTTTTTAGCAGAGACGTGTTAAGGTTTGCTTTCTCTTTTTGGTTTTGTTTGTTTGGTTGCTGTGAAAATCCGAGAAAAAAACCTCGTTTTGGTCATTTATCCTGTGCTCGTCCCTTTTTCTCAATATCCGTAATTTAAGTATTTATTTCCCTATTTTTCCCGATTTGTTTCTTTCCTTTTGGTTTTCTTTAATTTTTTGTTGTAACGATCAGTAAAAGTTTAAAGAATTGACAAGAATAGTTTTGATTTTTTTTTTTTTTCCTTTTGAAAATAGAAATTATTTGATAGCGTTTAGTGGTTTCACAGTCAGTTTAAGCAAGTTAATCGTTGTTTGTGGGGGGTGGGGTGGGACAAAGGAAGAAAAAGGGAACCAAATACACACTGTATATTCTAGTCTTTAGTACACTAAGCTTGTATGTTTCCTGCTACCAAATGTTTGGTTGAATAGCACTTAATATATTTATATGCATATGTCTGCTTAACCATGTAGTATTGTTATTATTTAATTCTCCAGTATACTAACCTTGTATACTTTCTGCTTAATCATTTAGTATTGTCACAAAAAGGAAAATGGCTGTTGACTTGAATTGCACTTTGATTTCTTTAGTGGAAGAGGTTGAGGATATTCTATCTGCCATTTTGATGTAATGCATAATATCACATGTCATGAAATTTAAACTGGTTGGAGGATTAGTTTTAGTTGGAAGCGTGTCTTTTGAAACTTCACATGTGGTTTACATTTAGTTGGTCTAGGTGGGGGATTGGTTTTCTTGTCTTACAATGAATGTGCTCTGCAGAATTACTGTCTGGAATTCGGAAGGAAGCAGAAGCTGGAAAACTTCCTTCAAATGTTGCTGCAGGAATGGAAGAACTTTATCAGAACTACAAAACTGCAGTAAACATATAAACTTAAATCATGCTTCAGTGCGCATATTCATGTTCTAGTCATACAAGTTCTGTGTCTCTTTCAGTTGATTTTTATTCTAGGGCATGATTCCCCATAACTTTAGTTCATCTATCTTTCATGAATCCCATCCATTGTCTTTGTCGCAGTTTCACTCTCCTCATGAAACATTGACCAAAATTCAAAGGAAAAGTTCGTAACAAATTTATGCCATGTGATTAAAGCTTAGCAGGTCCCTACGTTTATTAAGGATTCTTTTGTAGATGTCCTTAATGAGGATTGAGGAAAAATTATTTTTGCTCATCTAGAGTATTGTCTTGCCTTCTAATATTAGTGAGTTCATGCTTATGTTTTCTGGGCATGATTCTATCTTTCAGAAAGTTTAGATTTCATGTGTTTGCTCCTCAGGTTTTGCAAAGTGGAATTCCCAATGCACATGAGATTGTATTGGAAAATATGGCTGTTGTATTGGATCGTATATTCTTGGATGTCCAGGTGATTTGGACTTCATATACCCACCATCAAGATGCTTTTTTGTCAGAATTGTTGGCCTATATGAACCTCTTATGTGAAATGTACAGTAATTTTTCAGGACCCTTTTGTCTTCTCACCTTATCACAAAGCTTTGAGAAAGCCATTTGACTACTATGACTTTGGTCAGAAGTATATCCGTCCATTGATTGATTTTAGGTGAGTACACAACTATATTTTCCCTTCATTTTCTTAATGGTACACATTAATTTGGTCTACTTAAAGCTTCCTGAAAATTTGAGATGTGACAGACACACACAAATATGCACCTTGTTCTTCATTTGATGCCTCCAACGATAGCTCTATATCTAGCCTTTCTGTAGTGATGTTGGAGATGATTGCGGCGTTGCAGTTTCTGGATATCCCACTGGTTCAAATTTCTGTTGTTTTTCTTATTAGTAAATACATAAGTGGACCCAACTCATAAACTTAAATCACGAGGGTGATGTGTGAATTATAATTATGCTGCTACAGTCTCATTTGCTCAGATTAAGCCTTATATTTCTCCCTTCTGCTGATGCTAACTTTGACCTTTGTTTATTGCAGAAATTCATATGTAGGCAATGTTTCCATTTTCAATGGAATTGAAGAGAAGCTTCGGCAGGTGCCTTTATATATATATATATATATATATATATATAGTAGTTGTAATTTTCTAGCTATAAACTTTAGTGAATTTTGTTCAGTTGCTGTTACTCAGTAATTTTGGATTGGTTTTCCACTTCCTTTTCTCCTTCTAAAAACATTTTTAAGCTTTGCTTTTCTCTGCTGATCATTTAATACCGGGCAGCATGTTTTCTTAAAGCATTGGGTTAAAGTTACTCTATTGTTACAAGCATTGTAATTTCACATGCTCATAGGTAAATCTGCTGCACTAAGATGTGTATACAATAATAATAGGAAAGTAGAACTACTTGTCTTCCTTAGCCTTAAGTTCAAGAGATCTCTATGAACTCTTAACAGACAAAAAAAAAAAAAAAAAGGGCATGGATAGAGATTAGAGGAGTCATGTGAATAATCTAGAATTCCTCTCCTGGCACAAATTTCATGACAAAAATTCGCAATTTGGTCTCCTTTTTTTCCCTATTAATTCTTTCCATCCTTCCAACATCTCTACCACTGTTCTGGCTTCTGAACATAGTCCAGTCATTAGTTTGAAAGAGAAAAAAATTGACCAAAAATGTGATATCATTGTGGATATGCTGATAAAAATACTGTTGAAAAAAGTACACTATGCATCTTGTTCTCTCTGTGTGCTTATGACAAACACAATTTCTCTCTTTTTAGGCCTAACGTATGGAATTTCTAAGATGCTTGTTTGAGATAGTTACCACCTGAACCTGTAGATAACCATTTTTAAGTGTCATTGTTTAAAATAAATTTTCTGGACATGTATTCAATTCTTCTTAGATATAGCAGATAAACTTTAACTGTCTAGGATACAAACTTATGTGAATCTATGAAATGCCTTTTCTGACATATCTTTTCAGAGTATTATCCATCTATTTAACTTAAACTCGTAATGTTATCTAACTTGCTTAGGTTTTTTCTTGGCAAAACAATTTACCAGTACGTAGGTTGCTTATGAAATGTTTTTTCCTGGTTGCAGGGTCACAATATTGTCTTGGTATCAAACCACCAAACTGAAGCAGATCCAGCTGTCATTGCACTGTTGCTTGAAACATCAATCCCTCATACTGCTGAAAACTTGGTGAACCTGATAGTCTATCCTAGCCTTCTGTAAAGAGCTATTTTGTGTGTTTGAAATGCTCTCATAAGCAAATTCTACATGTACCATTGCAGATCTATGTTGCTGGGGATAGAGTTATCACAGATCCTCTTAGCAAGCCATTCAGCATGGGAAGGTACTTGCAACTTAGACAACAATGGTTGTTGTCTATTATGCCTTTTTAATGGTTAAGAGAGTTGCACTGTTTCAAACTCTCTGCCCTTTTTCCAGGAATCTCATATGCGTATACTCAAAAAAGCACATGAATGATGTCCCTGAGCATGCAGAGGAGAAGAGAAAAGCAAATATTCGAAGTTTGAAAGAGATGGCTTTGCTTTTAAGGTACCCCAACTACCTTTTTTAACTTGCCTGATCAAAAGCTTTGGTGTGAAATATTTGTTGAAATAAGGTTCGGGATTAATTCTTTTGCCATTTGTAATGTGGTTACTCATTCAAGGATCAGATTGTTTGGATTGTCAACTAATAGTGCTTATAGCTATATTTTCTACCATCATTTCTTTCTGTTTCCTTTTTTTATATAATAGAAGCACGATAAGAGAGTGACCAATGAAATTGTTTAGAGAATGCAGTTGGGGTTCAAGTGAAGTTGTATTGATGTAGAGGTTGTGCTATTATGTAGTTTCAAAACCATTGGCTGTCTCTTTTTCATAGTCCAGTTTGGATTTGTTTTAATTCAACTAGTTTGTATTTTTCTATATTTCTACTTCAGACATCTCATATAACTTGTGCATGGATTTGTTCTATCATCAATAATACCTATTCCAAAATGGTAAAAAAAAATGCTGCTAGTTGATAACACAAGTAGAAAAGAAATTTCCTCCTTTGGTTTGACTCAGATGTACTGAGCATCCCAGATTTGTCCTTTTGTATTCTAGCACATTCATCTGGGACTTTGTTTTAACCCCGATTTTAATGACAAGGAATCAAAATGAACAAATCTTTCTAGGATCTCGTGAGGATGGTTTGAATGATGGATAGAATGAGGGTAATATCCAAGTGGATGAGTGCCTGTGAGGAAGTTCATTCAAAACATCAGACTATTAGTCTCTGCCGAATCATTTTACCATCCACTGAAACTGTAATTGCTATTAACTGTTAATTCCTACATCTTAACTGGCTAATAAGCAGTGATAATATATGGAATCTTGTAAATGGCTTAAGCTGGCATCACTGATGATTCTCATCTAATGTTTGATACTGTTGTTACTCATGCAATTTTACTTTTATTTGTAAGTAGTAGCATCTAGTATTCTGGAATCTCCATCGATTCCCATGCTGTGCCATCCACACTGACAAAAATTATGGGCAAGAGGATTAATGCAAGGAATTTTCCTCTTAGGGTTAATGCTTGCAGACCCCCTCTAATCTTGATTTTGTCTTTAAAAAGGACCCATAATCTCATCCCTCAATGTTTGGTTTTTGTCATGGCTATCCTTCCATTAATGTTCAAGGCTAATGGCGTTAAATCATACCATTAGGTTCTCAAGATTGTGACGTGTCGAGTAATTTTATTTTATTTTTCCAAATTTAAATAAATTAATTTCCAGAAAAGAGAAAAAAAAGCTATATAAATAGCTGAAAATCCCAAATTTAGAACATTTAGCCAAATTTTCTCTCGTCTCTCTTCTCTTCTCTCAGGTCATAGATTGATCCTCTCTTTTCGGTTAATCATTGACACATATTTGACCCCCTCTTCTCTCTCTAGCCACCAGACTTTCTGTTCTCTTTTGCCTAACTCTCTTAGCCAGTCTCTATCAAAATTCAATCTTGGTGTAATTGAAGCACTGAATGAAGTAATACACAATCCTTTTGACTTTGTTTCGTTTTGTACCACTAAATAGTTACATGGTATGTTCAAATTTTGATATTTTTTTCTTGCAGTGATCTTGATTCAGAATCTTCGATTTGTCTGAAACCCCATGTGCTGCAAACTCGGATTTCAACATAGTATTATCTTTTTAGGTTCTTTAGCATTAGATTTTAGATCTGTTTTTGTGTATTGAGAGCTTGGTATCATAAATTGAGTTCACCATTTCTCTTAAGAGATACAATCTTGGAGTTTGGGGGTTCTCAGTTTGGAGATAAACATTGATTTCTTTTTCAGTTTTTTGAGGTTTTAAAGCAACTTTAATGTGAAAAGGGTGTAGTTAGATCAGACCCAGAAGTTGAATTTTGACAATAGTATTGTTATAAAGATGCAATCAAGAGTTATTCCATTAGAGGAACGGAAGGACCCTGCAGTTTCTTTCAAAGCAAGCCAATCAAAGCCCTTTCCAATGAGGTTACTCCAGTTATTTTTTCTTTTTTTAGCTGTGTATCGCTCTTTCGATCATCAGTATGTATACAATCAAGCCTTTTGGGGTTTTCCGCTATCTATATAGCTTTTTTTTTTCCTTTTTGGAAATTCATTTATTTAAACTCAAAAAATAAAATAAAATTACTTGACAGATGTTGCAATCCTGTGAACCTATTGTTATGGTTTGGATGGAAGGATATAATCATGACAAAAACCAAACGTTGAGAGATGAGATTAAGACAAGCAACAGTAGAGGAACCTTTTAAAAACAAAATCAAGATTACAAGGACCCCTGCAAGTATTAATCCTTTCCTCTTATCAGCGCCAATGCCAAGCATTGCTTAAGATTACACCTCCCCATCTGACTCAACAACCTTATGTTATTGTTTGATTATTCTTGTCCAACAAACTTCAAAATTTACTTCAACCTGCCATCAACCTTGCATTAACTTGTACCTTGAGGTTGCTGTGTCTATAATCTGCCACAAGTGTTTAGAAAACATGTTATATGGTTTCAGTGCTCAACTCTCGAAGTGTAATGTGATCTTTCTCACATGCATGATTTTCACATATTGATATGTGTAGTTGCTTTTGATGGGCAGTCTCTGTGTTTTCTCATGTGCTTAAATGCACATGCTGTTATTCTACATATGCAACATTTGAAAGTGTATCTGACTGTAGGGGTGGCTCACAAGTAGTCTGGATTGCACCAAGTGGCGGTAGGGACCGCCCAGATCCTTTGTCAGGAGAGTGGTATCCGGTAAGTTATTTTTCTTTTACTTTTTTTTCTGTCATTTTTTTTTTTTTGGAATAGAAATACAGAGAAGCTGGAATTATTTTGAGATTTGTGGAGAAACAGTATTGCTATTTCCTTTTTATGATCTGAGACAGAATTTGGATTAGGTTATCCTTGCTCAAAGATTTTAACGTTGGTTCATGGTTTGAAATTGTTCAATATTTACTTGCGTGGAATCACTTTATGGTTTGTACTAATGCAGAAGCACTTTATGTATCCTAAATTCTTAGATAGGGCCCATAGCTGACCTAGTGCAAATCATTTGAGTTTCCTTTGTGATAGCAAATTTTTAAGACTAGCTCAATTTTTCTTCCCTTCAACACTGATATCTTATTATGACACTGGGAAGATGTTTTTATCTTCCTTGTCCCGCCCAAAGACAATGTTAATCATTGTTACATTTATTTTTGTTATGCTGTCATGTTTGTTCATGCTGATGTAAGTTTGGCAGGCAAACTTTGATGCTTCTTCAGTAGACAACATTAGAAGGCTTGCTGAACATTCTGGGGCTCCAGGACATGTTTATCCTTTGGCATTATTATGCCATGACATCATGCCCCCTCCACCTGAGGTATGCCTTTGTTTGATTTATAGTTTTCGGAGCATTATTTCTCCTTGCTTAATTCCTTTGGAAATCTTCAGGTGGAAAAGGAAATTGGAGAGAGAAGAGTTATTTCATTTCATGGAGCTGGATTATCCGTTGCACCAGAAATCAGCTTCTCTGAAATTACGGCTGCATATGAAAATCCTGAAGAGGTTGGTCATACACTGCTTGTGCACCTTTGAACCTTATACAATTTAAAATATTTTCTCCCGAAGTAGCATAAATTGAGGAATAAATTGAGGAATTCTTTGCTCACCTTTTACAGCCAAGAAGCAATAAATTGAGGAAAAATTATGTTTGCCTGTAGCATTCAACCAACTATAGAGCTGAGCTATGGCCATGCATCAGCATTCTTCAGTTTCCTTCCTGCCATGATGAATTTTGGTTGTCCATGTTGTCACTGACAACTATTTTGATCTGTATTCATTTGTTTTAGTGTTTATCAGTGGCTAGTAGTATGTTTGCTGATTAGCGTGGTGCTTTTAGTGGAAAATAATTAATCCTATTTAATTTATCTGTCAACAAACTTAAGATAAATATCAAGAAAGTTATGTTCATGAATATGATAGTACGAACTCAACAAACTCTTATTTGTTTCTTGAGACTGTTGTCCACTGCACATTATCCTCTGAATGTTTTGTATCTAAATGAGCTTGCTTTGCTGTAACAGGCTAAGGAGGCGTACTCAGAGGCTCTGTATAAGTCTGTGACTGAGCAGTACAATGTGCTTAAATTCGCTATACATGGCAAACAAGGGCTAGGGGCATCAATTCCAACCGTTTCTTTGTCACAACCATGGAAGTAGTCAATCTTTTCTATACTTAATTAGGTATTTTCATATTCCTTTATATTATCAGTTAATTAGGTTCATAATCAATGTTTTTTCTGGTGTTGCAATTAAAATCTTTATTATTAGTAGAATTATGCAAACCTTTGTATTCACAGGCAAGACAACTATTTTCCTGCTTGTCTTAGGTTTTACCCATTCTGATAGAATTGCTGAAAATGTACTTGCTAGGAAGCGAGTACACTCAGTTGTTAACAACCTGCTACTGCACATATTGATTTGCCTTAGTCAAGATATTGTATCTGTCCAGAGAGGCAGACAACATGCTAACACACATTATGGAGCACACATTTTAATAGCATAGTTGGAAGAGATCTGCTTTTAATACATGAAGAACCAATTGACATGGATGAGTTGTGACGTTGATGCTTATGAAACTTCAGTGTAGTAAATTCTTTCAAGAATCTCAATATACCAGTGTATATCTGTTCACATTTATGCCTCTCATGGGTGTTTTATTTGGAGTCCGTCCTACATGCTATTCTGAATTTTGATCGTGCAAGAGCTTCTTATATGACCTATAGCCAGCATATTTTTCCAGCTGGAAGCCTAGAATGGTTTATGATTCTCAGAACTTGATGTAAAAATGTAGTTTTTATTAAATGAACTCACTGCCTTACAATACCATTAGCTAACCTCTCATAGCAGTCTCTTATCATATTTTATTAAGCTTGACTTGTATATTGCAGGCAATAGTTTTGTTATATTGTTCTGCAACTCCTTGACCACAATCCTACCAGTCCTTCAAGTCAAGTATGTGCCAGAAGAAGCTTTTCTCTCCATGATGATATGGATGACTTATTTTGAAGATGCAATCCGAGCAACAAATTTTTGCTGTGCTTACATTTTATTGAAGCCTTTCTTGAAGCCAAATCCATCTGAATTCGAGCTGTTCCAGAGGTTCAATTTCTGGTGTGTAAAGGTAAGAGTTCCTAGTAACACAAGAGCTAGTCGTATAAGGCAATCATACATGTATATTTTTGTAAATTTTTTTTTGTGGCTGATCATATTCTTTTTACACTAATTGCTCGATTGTGATTCATTTTTCCCTCATTCAACTTCAATAACTTGGAAGTTTTCATGCTAGAACACTTGCACACAGAAGTTCTACGAACAGGATTGGAACAATTTTTTGCCTCTTGGCTAAAGAAAACTTCTTGTTACCTGCCACAACACAACTTTTATATGATACAATTATGATGACCATTTACTCTTGTTTTGGGCAAACCCAAACCAGCTAGTTGCCACAATCAACCGGGAGTGATCCATGCTTAGTTTTTTTCCCGTCAGTTATAAAAGTAGCCCTGTTCTACTGAACTATGCATTTTTGAGGGGCTGGCTCTTTGTTTGTTGAAGGTTTGCCTGCAAAATGGAGAAAAACACTGCGCGTTAAAGCGAAAAATCTTTTTAAAAAATTATATTGAGAATTGAGAAATGGGGAAATTACGAGAAAGTGATTAAAAAAAAAAAAAAAGATGTATGAAACATATACTAGGAAATTTAAAAATGTTGTAGGGTGGCGATAACATTCATCCCACTTGTTCTTGGGAGATATAGATTAAAACAGCAAAATGAATATTTTTCCTCTTGTGCGTTTATTTTTTTATGGAACTTATCTTGATGAGGAATTTAATAATACTTGTTTTCAGTATTGTTAAACTTTATAATCTGATGCTGATTATTAATTGACACTGGCATTTAGATTTAGGGAAGAGAATGCATGTGTCCGTAGCCTAAGTTACCAGTGGGACCTCACGTGCTTTATGGAGACAAGAACTGTTACTTTGGATCAAATTCTCGTATTTTGAGATCTGTACACGTGTTGCTTAAAAAATATCCTGAAAGCCTGCTTTTGCTTGATGTTTGTTTCTTGTGAGAGGGGAAGATCACCCCCTTTTCCCATTGCATCTTTCATTTTCTTAATGACCTAAACAAAAACGAAAGGGACACGCTTTTATCGGTTAAACGTTTCTATGATCCCTCAAAATTTTTTTTTTAGTTTTGTACTAGTTTTTTTCTTCTACTTTTATTTATTTTAATATTCTCTCTGTATTTTTAGAACCGTCCTAGTTAGGTTTTTTTGTTTTTTTTTTAATCGGTATTCATAGTTGATACCAGCCAAAAAGGACTTAATCAAGATGATTTTGAAAATAAAAAGAGAACATTGAAACGAATAAAAACAGAAAAGAAAAACTAATACGAAATTAAAAATAAAGAGCTGTGTAAAAGTTTTCAACCTGCATTTATGTCCATGTTTCTGTTTGTTCCTTGTAAAAATTACAAGGAGAGTTAGCTTAAAAGAAAGACAACCCTTCAACTTAAAATTAAAATAATCTGAATCTTATTACAAACTCTAGCCCCCATGTCAGTCTATAAGGTTCTTTGTCAAGGTGTGGCTTTGTTTGTGACCGTATGTACTTGATGTAATTTGAATTAGTGATTATATTAATGGCTTAGTGTTTGCATGCACGAGGGTTTCGAATCATCTCACATTCTTAAATAGTGTAAAGGTAATATTCTATAGAAAGTTTAAGATACCAATATATTTGGGATATCACAATTTAGTGAGGAGTGTGCAATGGGACTAGACTACCGATGATGGAATTCTAATACCTGCTTGAAAAGGTTGGGCTTTTAGTTTGACCGGTATTTGTAGGATTTTATTAGCAACACCATTATAGCATTGTTGATAAATATATCCCATGTAAAATAAACAAATAGATGAGTAACAAAAATATCAAAATCGAGAATTGATCCTCTAACTTAAAATTTTAAGTCTTTCAAATAGAATTTTGATTCAATCATTGATTCCAATACAGTATCAAAATTATTCTGTTCCAGTGATTTAATAAGTATCTTAAAGTTCAAATCATTTCGACAATCTAACCATTCGTCACAATGTATCTGGAACGCGCCATTGATTGATCTTATTTTTAAGGTTTGCATTCAATTTCTTATAAAGTTGGTGAATGTGGTAAAAAGTCCGGCATTAAGTGAAGAACACAACTTGTTTTTTCATGGCGAAAACATGTTTAACGATAGTGATGAAATATAAAGCAGGATGGCTTTGATGGAATGTTATTTGGCAAATATGATGTCGAATTTTCAGTCTTCAACTACTTTAAGGAAAAACACATGTATAGCGTATTGAAAACTAGAAAGTGTTAAACTGTTAACGCACGGAATTTGAAGCTAAAAATATGAAGAACATAGCAAACAGAACAACAATTTCTTTGTTCACGAAAAAAAGAACAGTGATTCGTGCTATTGCTCATTTTGCTGCAATTGCCATCTTATATGAAAAGCATGTGAAAATACTAAATATTCCTTTCTCATCGTCCCAGCTCTGCTCTTGCATCTAATTATTTCTTTACATGGAAAAGAACTAATTGTGTCCTCCACTTGCACCTTTTTTTCCTTCTATCCTATGATTATTCATTATTCTTTAGGTCAATGTTTTTCCTCTAAAGATCATGATTTCTCAATTCTAAAGTTTTGGTAATATTCTCGTTATTCTTTTGTGGCGAAAAGAACTCTCTATCATATTGGATTTATTATGTTTGTGTTAAAAAAACCAATCCAATCGAAAATTTTAAGATGTTGGATTTTTTTACAGGTTACAACGAAATGCTCAAACCGTTGAATACACAACACAAATTCTGTTAGATAAAAAATACAATTGAAATACTTTTATAATTTGATGTGTTTATATTGTAGCGAACATTATTTATATCCTGATTTTGTGATCAAATGATGTATCGAATAACTTTCATATATTAAAAGTAAGTTTACTTGTCATTTAATTAAAGCAACTATTCACGTTAGAGTTCTCAAAAAAAAAAAAAAAAAACCACATTTCAAAAGTGAAATACGGCAGCTCCATATTAACCGAACTTTCTCCCCTTCTGAACTTCTGAATCGAGACGGCTCACTTCATCCTAGTTCATGGGGTTCGAAACAAGAAATAAGAGATCCATCCTCACTTCTTTTTTCTCTTTTAATTTCGTGGTTTGAATCAATTATGTCCTCGGAAAAATTGAGCTGGGCATCCCTCGTCCTACACGTGGCATCCATGGACAGGCAGGTATGCAAGTAGGGACGCGAGAGCCGTCGGATATACAAAAAATAAAGATAAGTGATCTGGTGAGTCATCACCATCTGTCATCTGATAAGCACTGTGTGAGGTCATTTTAGAATGAAAGACAACATAGGTAAGTCAAATAACAAATCAAATTTGAGATGGACCCTTAAACAATAAATACATATTATTACCAGATGAAGTGACAAGTGGAAAGTGAGGACCACGCGCCGCTCCCGTTTGAGTCTCAACAAGGAAACAACTGCCGCCTTCAGGTGGAGCTGTTGACGCAACAGGTACTTAGATGGTGAAGCGGATTTTGGGCCCACTTTTTGATTGGTTTTGTTAGGGAAATGGGTCCTACTCTTCGGAGACTACAGTAGTAAGCTAGTACAGTAGCTGATAAGGTAGAAGTGGTTAATATGCCAGAGTCTGGTCTGGACGATTATGCATTTTCTGCAAATCTCCAAGGCCTATTAATGATCAAAAGAAGTTCTTTCTTTTTTCGGTTTTACAGTGCTTGAAAGATTTAAAAAATTCATGAAATTTTATCTTCATATCCAAAAACGATTGAAATTGCAAGGTCCTTTAAGAATGTTAATTTGTGAGCAGAAAATTGATGATATTTATAACTAATATTCTTTTTAATCCTGTCAGATGCACGTTCGAAAGGATTTCTTGTTTTTGATAGCAGAAATAAACAAAAACTACAAATATTAAAAAGAAAAGCACTAGTAATTCATCCAGATATTTCTTTTGTGAAACAAACTGAGCCGGTGAGCCCACCTAAAGACAGTAATGGGCCTTCTTAAATCTTAATCAGATTGCTTAAACTAGAACTCTAGATTTTTATGCATGGTAAAGCAGCTGGTTGAATACTGGAATAGATTCGGATCTATGATAAAGTATAAACCTGTCAAATACTATTGGAATGAGATGGAATCTGGGTTAATTAAGTCCATCGAGAAACAAAAAACAAGAATAAGAAAATAAGAATGAATGCACGTAATTTAGATTCGAACGTGATGCCAATTCAAAGAATAAGAATCACAAGGGATTTTGGTTCAAATTTTTGAGAAGAGGAAAAATCGTAGTATTGTAAATCCGTTTTATTGCTACTCAATCTAAATCTAGTTTAGGCTTACCATTAACATGCAATGCAAGCCATAAAACAGCGCAAAAAATTAGGTAACGTAGTAATTTGAATGACCTGTGCAAGGCATGCGACTGCTCTCTCTCTCACCACCGCCAATTAAAAAGGTTGGACTCTTGCTGGAGCAAGCACCATGAAAAAGAGTAAGATGCTATTGCTAGCAAATTTATATCATACAGTATGTAGTTTGCCACAAATCATCCAGACCTGTAATAATTGCAGGATAGAAAGATAATTTTGGCCTTCCATAACGTGCCAAAACGGACATCATAATCAAAATTTTTCATTGATTACTTATACTGCATGCAGGTCAATTTTAGCCTAACTCTAGCCGAGCCCATTTACCTTTGTTCGGGGCAAATAATAATAAAAATCCATATATCCTATAGATAGCTTTTTCTTTACACAATCCAACTATTTTTTTTTATGTACTTTTATCTATATAAATTAATCAAAGACAACATTAATGTCAAGAATAAATACATCTTCTGTTTCTTTTTTAGATAATGCCTAATTTCTCATGTTTATCCATGATATTTACATTGTCTCTTCCGATGAGAAAATTACAGTTCCTAAATATTCCTGAATGGACTATTTATAAAGATCACATATCAAGTCAATTAATCATGATTATGCCTAACTCAAGATGTCAATTAAGAAAAAGAGAGCCTAACATAGTGATGACATCTTGGAAACCAAGGCAAAACATTCATAAAAGCATGTCTGAGATTGTCAAAAAAATACACTACTACTGTCCTGATAATTAAACGTCTCCATCAATATCAAAAAAGAGAACACACTATGGTATTATAGTACTAGTAAGCAAAAGGAAAGGAAGCAAGCAATCTGTCGAAAAGGAAGAGAGAGTAGAGAGAACTGTAGAGGGAAGAGAGTATGCTTGGAAACTGATCAAACGGACAAAGAAAAAAATGTCATGTAGCGGAGAGATTTGCATATGTCTGTACATTGACTCCATTTGTACAACTGCCAGACAATGAAGTCATGCACATATATGAACTCAGTTTTGAAGTTAAGGCACTGCTCCAACCCACCAAACTCTCTCTCTCTCTCTCTCTCTCTCTACCATTGAAAGAGACTCTCTCTGCCACCCCAAGAGCCTACTATTCAATCCGCATACACAAACACACCCCCATCTGCCATCTGCTAGCTCTCTCTCTCTCTCTCTCTCTTGCCAACCTGCACTCCTCTGTTTTCACTGCATGAAATTACCTAAGCATTTGTAAAAAATCTCCATCTCTCTTTCTCTCTCCTTCCTTGAAAATTGAAATATGCAGGATTAATTAACCCCATTAAAACTTTGAAGATGCTAACACGATTTTAGCTAGACAAACACTACCCAGAACCCTAGAAGGCTAGAAACCTTTCTTATATTAGCACCATCACCCTCTCTCTGTGTTTTTTTCCCTAACAAACACAAAGTTACTTCAGAAAAGCAACTTGTTTCTCCATTTTACACGAAACCCACAAACCTCTCTCTCTTATTTCATTATTTTCTCTCTGTACTCATGAACTCATCAAGATTGTTCATTCTTCAATGACTTATGTTTTTAATTTAAAAATATTATTGGAGGGGTGAATGGGGTGCATGTTCTCTCAATTGGCTGCAAAATTTGCTTTCTTTCCTCCATCTCCACCTACGTACCAGATTAAGAACAGAGACAATGGCAAGCTCTCTGTGGTCTCAACTTCTTCTCCTTCTTTGCCACTTCCTCTTGCTGATGATAATTCATTAGATGTACTCCTGATTGATACAAAGAGAGGCAACAAGATTGTTGCTTTTTATCTTAAAAGCCCTTATGCAAGACTCACTGTGCTTTACTCTCATGGCAATGCTGCTGACCTTGGCCAGCTTTATGATCTTTTTGTCCAGCTGAAGGTTAATCTCAGAGTTAATCTCATGGGGTTAGTGTCATAAACTGTTGCTAAGTGTTTTCTTTTTCTTTTTCTTTTTTCTGAGAGAGAGTGCAAAATATATATTTTTTTCCTTAAAAAATGCATGACTGAGTTTTTCTACTTCTATTTGTAAATTTTTCTAACTTGTTGTGAAATGGGTCTTGTATTTAATGTTCTCGCTGCTTCTCCGTGGGCCTGTAGCTGGTCTTCTTCGTGGGGTTGAATGGTTTGTCTTAAATTTTTCCCCTTTTCTTTTTCCTTTTTTCGGGTAACTTTTTTTCCATTATGTTCTGGATTTTGCTGGGTTAGATCTGTGATTATTGCTGGTTGAGATTTGATTATTTCTAGTGCTAATGACTTATTTTATTGCTATTGCGCATACGATGGTTTTTATTTATTCATCATTTTTACTCTTTAAAGTGACAGTAAAGATGGATGGTAAGTTATTCTCAAAAAAAAAAAAAAAAAAAAAAATTGCTTAAATAATTGATACTTAATCACTCGTACTTGGATAGCATTGGTAACAATGCTTAGTTTCTTCTCTTTAGAGTTTTGTGTGTTTTCGGGCTCTGTGAGATTTTAACTTTATTGTATCTTTGATCTGTTTCTTTTTGTCATTTCTGTTAAAGCCTTTCTATTTGTCAATGGGCTTCTCAGATTTCTGTATTTCATTTTAACCACTCCTATGGAGCTCTATGAATTCAATCTTTGACATGGCCTTAAACCTATGTATGCTTTTGGGTTCAGTTACGTTCAAATGCTTGCCTAATTTTATGTGCCATGGAAATTTTCTTTCTTTTGAAGAGAGGACTGCCTCTTGCTTTTTTTTGTTTTCCCTCAAAAAGAACGAAGTCATGCTATTGTCTTTAGCTTTCAGTTTTTCTTGCTTTTCTTCCTTCTCCCATGCTGTTTTCTTAATTTAATTGAGTTGAATTATGATCTCTGCCATCTGAATGCTATATTGCAGATATGACTATTCCGGTTATGGTGCCTCTTCTGGTAAGGTAATTAGCTGTCGTTCAACTTAAGGTTATCGCATAAGCAAAATTTTATTCATGGTATGTTTGAAGAAATGCAGCTAATTGAAGGGATTGAGATCAACAAGTTGATATTTACAGTAATTAAAAGTAGGAATATAATTTGGAATTTCTGAAGATAGAGGAAAACTGGATTATGCATTACGAACAGTAACAAGAGTGCTCATTTATTGTGCTTTTGAGTTAACACATACTGGAAATCTGGGTCATGCAATGCCAAGAACTTTTGAGTGAACCTATACGGGAAAATCAACTGAGCATGGATCTAAATAAAAGACAGCAAGTACTTACATCATCTTTGCTTATCAGCAATAATAATAAAAAGAACAGGGCATGGTGGTGGGGGCAATTAGCACTTTTCCAAGTGAGAATGACACACTGAATTTATAGTGAGAGAGAGAGAGAGGAAAAAAAAAAAAAGAGCGAGAAATGGGAGTGCTACTAACTCCCCCAGAGTACAAATGAGCTCCTGCAGTCCAGATATATTATATAGTTGTGGAAGAAGATTAGGATGTTTATTCATTAAAAAAAACAATTGGCCCTGAGATGATGTGAATACTTACTAGTTCCACTACTTATTTTTTATTGTCTGGCTCCTCAAGTTGGACAACTTTTCGTATAATTTGGAAAGCTTACAGCACTCTGATATTGACAACTGCATGGTAATTATATATTGTGTTTGTGATGTCCAGCCAAGTGAGTCCAACACGTATGCTGATATAGAGGCAGTTTACGAGTGTCTTCAGACACAATATGGAGTTAGTCAGGAAGACTTAATTTTGTATGGGCAGTCGGTTGGTAGCGGGCCAACCTTGCACTTGGCAGCGAAGTTGCCAAGGCTGAGAGGTGTAGTTTTGCATAGTGCCATTCTTTCTGGTCTTCGTGTGCTCTGCCATGTGAAGTTCACATTTTGCTTTGACATATACAAGGTAAGCAAATTATCTTGGTCATTGTTACTTGTTGAAATCCTTAATGGTTTATTGACTAAAGAGGGTATGTTTGTGGTTCATCTATCTCTGCTGCCATTTTTAACCTATACACTTGTCTCATAAATTGCAGAACATTAACAAAATTCGGAAGGTGAAGTGCCCTGTTCTAGTGATACATGTAAGTGTCTTTTCTTCTAGTAGTTGCCTTTAGAAACTCCTTATCATGCAATCATTCTGCTGAGACTTTGGTTTTCCAAACCAATTCATTTTTAAAAAGGGAGCACATTCAACTGCTTGTATGAGAGTTTGAGAAAAATTGAAATCCAAAATGCTTTAATGTGCATTATATCAGGTTGTCCGAGTTGATTAAGATTTCTCAGCTTATTTTAGGTGATACCATTTTGTTTCATGAATTGATGACTACATTTGTCAGTCCGGGTCTAGTCATCATATAAAAGTAGGATAAGACAGATAAGGTGCTGCCAAACAAATTTTGAATTTGATGGGAGAGATCTTTAAAACTGGTTCAACAGTTGCATCTCACATGTTAGTGGAGATATTAGCTACTGTAGTATCTAGAATTCAGGATTTGGGTGGCTGGTGCTGATTTTTGATGTAAGCATTTGGTGGTTTTAAATAAATGTGATTTCTGCTTTATGATTTCGTGCAATAGATATAGGTGTGATTCTCTTGGAAACTTACATAAAAGTTAGTTGGAACTTTGAATTTTGTATATGTGCTTGTAGAGATATATTTGTAAGTAGAGATATATTTGTAACATTTGTTAGTTCTTTGTTTCCTTTCATGTCGTGGTGCTCTTGTAGTTTATTCTCCATTGCAAATCTGCATGCTCTATTGCAGGGTTAGCCTATACACACTTTAATTGTTATATATCCACTTATGCAACAATGGAATTACATCAAACTAACCTTTTTGGATTTTCTACAAAAAGAAAATAGTAGTAGAGAAGAGTATGGCTATACATCATACGTTCGGTGGTGCTATAGTACATCGCAGGACACGTGTTGATTGCCACATCTTTTGGTCTGTGGCATAGCCATCCAAAGTATTGACTACATCAGCAACATTGCAGACGTGGCCATAATATGCTAAATATGACCTGGCCATATTATTTCTTATGATATGCTAAATATAACTTGACCATGTCAATAAGGTTGTTGATTTGGTTGATACCTTGGATAGCTATATCAGTAATTATATTCACATGACAATCAACATGTGTCTCATGATGCATTGTAGTATCGCGAGACCAAGATGCCAATCATTTGCAAATAGTGAAACATGTTTTTGTAAAGGTATTACTTTGTGAGAGGGCATGGGTATCACTTTGGTCTTCAATTTTTAACTCAACAACACAACAAAAACAAACCTTGATCCCAAACTTTGGTCTTCAATTTTTAATAAAGAACCAAAGGTAGAGCAAGGTAGCACAACTACAGTCATTATTCACTTATGATCTTAATACCTTAAGAAATCGATAATACTGTTGGTATCGAGGTTTTTCATGATACATATTCTATTTCTTTTTATAGGTCTGCAAATAGTAATCACTGTGTTAATGAACCTTAGTAAAAACCAGTTAAGTTGGTAATCGTAGGAAAAGGTAGTAATTATGTTCAAAAGAAATCAATAAGGTTAATTGACATTAAATTGATTTGCTTGACCAAAGCTGGTTGACTTGATCTAAGTTTTCAAAATTGGTTAATTTGATCTATGGGTTGATGCATTTGTCAAAAGGTTTTTTTTTGGTTCAGTAGTAAGGGTGTCCTCGGGTTAGTTTTTGCGCACCTCAAGACTAATCCCTCTTTGGGCCTTGCTAAGGGTATTCTGAAAACAAATTCTTAGGAGTGCTGGCCACAAAGATCGAACCTTGGACTTGGCTTATAAGTCAACATTTGCTTACCAGCAGGCTATCACTTTATGGTTGCCTTTGTCAAAAGTGAAACTTTGGCAAAAGGGGTTAGTAGTTGAAGTTGGTGAATATGGTCCGTTCAAATTTGATCAAGGGTGATGCTATGATGCCTAAAGACATTTGTTAAGGTGCATTTTTTATGGTAGTTGGTAATTAATTTACTCATAAAATTTTTAATTTCTATCATTATAATGTCAAAAGCTTACAATTAAGGAACATTGAATGCAATCCTTTCCTTTTACAAAGATCATAAATAGTAAGGCACGGAATTTTTTAAAAACATAATAAATGCACCTTAACGAGAGTCTTTGAACACATTATTATTTTTTTATTTATTGACTACTTAGGCTCAGTGGCCTAACTAAGTGTTGTTTGGTAGTGTGATGGCTTTTAAGCCATTGAAGTAATAGTACTTTGCTACCACTGGTTAGCAAAGCATCTTCACCTTCTAACTTTTCCTATAGTGGCTTTTATCACATCATGCTACCAATCACATACCAAGTCAGCTTGATTAATTATCGAAGGTTAGGTTAAAACCTAGTGAAATCAAATTTACTTTGGTTGATTTTAATGATCAAGTTTGACCGATATTGATTGATTTGATTTGATCAAGTTCAACCAAATTGACCAACATGAATGGGAAGGAAATGTACTTTTGCCAAAAACTCATTGCAGGAACTCATATCATTGGATGTGTGAGACCCACTACCGCACATCATTTTTGCAAAAACTCCTGTAATGAATTTTGTGTTAGATAGGTTTATGGCACAACCATAATGGGAGCGACGAACTTAACTACATCAGATGGTGCTTGATGTAATGCACAAATTGAATGCTATAGTGTAAAACATGTAATTAATTGCAAGGTGACAGGTGAATAAATGACAGATAAAATCTTTTTTTTGTTTTTGTTGAATAAGGTGACCTACTTCTGGATTTTCTTACAAAAAAAAATTATTCTGCTAGTGGTTTGTCAACTATTGTGCTATTCAGCTGATCCAATAGGTTGCATATATTTTGCTATTGGATTGTGGTTGAGAAATAGAAAAAAGCCATGTATTTTCTCCCCTCAATCAAGTATACGTTCAAACTATTACAACCTAATGTAAATTTGTTTCACAATTACTTGATCAAGGTCTTTCATGCCTAGTTAAAAGCTGATTCAAATTTATAGTATTGACGGGTAAAGAGCCTTGTCTCTCTTTTTGTTTCAAGTTATCTCCTTCCCATTTTCAATGGTGAATCGGTGATAAGCCCTAGGAAACATGGTTTCATTTCATTATTGAGAATATGATACTCTTATTGAGTTTCCTGAAAGTAGTTGCATTGATTTCATTCATAGGGCTATTTGATTGAGGATGTTATATATTAGAATCTATCAAGTTTTGGTACTAACCTAGTTTGGTTGATTACGTGATTTGGTTTGTTTTAGGAATTTAGAATTAGAATCTACTTTCTTTCCATACCTGCATATGGGCATATGTACATGCATGTTCAAGTGCTTGAGGGAATGCTTGCAAAATGTTGCTCCTTTCTTGTTATTTCATGCTAAACCACCAAAGTCGTTGCTATTCTAAATTTCCAAATGCAAAGGTGTGTTATCCTCTGAGTTTCACTAAGTTGACCAATTTTGACTTTTATATGATTCACTCTCTGCATTTGATATGTCCGAAGCAGATTTTGAAATGGGGTTGCATCATATGTTTTACAGGGCACAGAGGATGATGTTGTGAACTGGTTACATGGTGATGGGCTGTGGAAAATGGCAAAAGAACCATATGAGCCTTTATGGATTAAAGGAGGCGGGCATTGTAACTTGGAACTATACCCTGATTACATCCGGCATCTCTGCAGGTTTATTCATGAAATGGAGAATATAACCACAGAAATCCGTCTAAAAAAGATCCGGCAGAATCTCCATCTAAAGCCTAGGTCTAAGACTGCTTCCAACAAATGCTGTAGGTTCAAACTGTGGCGACCTAAATGCCCAGAATGTTTTAGACCCAGGTGCATAAAATGTTCGTGGCGTCCCAAGTGCCCAGAATGTAGGAGACCCAGATGTTCAAGCTGTGTTAAATGTGGCTGGAGACCCAGATGCTCAAGCTGTGTTAAATGTAGCTGGCGACCCAGATGTTCAAGCTGTGTTAAATGTTGCTGGCGACCCAGATGCCTAAAATGTCCAAGACCCAGTTGCTGCTGCAGAATGAGATGTCTGCCCTGGCGATGCTGTATGGGAAAGCACGGTGGGTTGAATGGAAAGCAGGATAGCTGATAATAATAATAATCAGCATTGGTTGTATAGATTGCAGATCGAATCCACTAACACTCTTCTAATCTTGTGCGTTAGTGTACAAAACAAGGGGAATTAGTTTGATAAGTTTATTAGAAATCATATTATTGGATGGTGTTCGGATGGTGGTATATTCTTGGAAATGGAGATTTTATATCAGCTCTTTGGGATTTGTTTCTGGAGATTGGCCATTTTATCATACCAATTTCATGGCTAAACTACACAAATTCCGAACTTCGGACCACCTCTGGGATCTCAGGTGGATTCCTTTTCTTTTTCTTTTTCTTCACTTTTTTCTGTTTACTATCCGCCAAATCAATTTTCATTTCCAAAAAGATTAATCAGGCAGCTGCGGAAGTTTTAATAGATTTCACATTTGACAATCATCAATCCCTATCCTAACCAGGCTGTCATGCTATTTAGTTTTTTTAACATAAATCGAAATTAAAATTAAAATTTTACTGCAATTTTAAAGACGTGCTATTCGTATCAGTTTGATATATTATAAAATTTTTGATATTAGATTTAGTTAAATAAATGTTACTGTAGCTTTTAGGAAAATAATTTAAGCAGAAACTCCATTGTCTTGTCATTATTTGTTCACACTTTTTATCAAAAGAAACAAATCTAACCTATTGAGTTGGTTAAAGCGATTCACGAATCACGACTAGCATTTTTTTTTTTTTTTTGGGAAAAAATTCTTCTGTTATCTCTCGAGTCTCTAATCAATGAATATGATCTGTATTTTACAATTTAAATTCAGACGTGAAAATTTGCCTCAAGACGTCGTTGTAGTATAGTGGTGAGTATTCCCGCCTGTCACGCGGGTGACCCGGGTTCGATCCCCGGCAACGGCGTTGATTTTGCTTTTCTATCCTCGTTTTCTTTTCGTTACAAATCTAAACGCATACCTCACAGAGGACCAATTAAACAAGAAATTAATTATTTTGGGCCTAAACCAAAACCGAGCTAATCGAATGGACCCGACTTACTCTTGAGCTAAAGAATTATTATTGTCCACCAAAGTGAAAAAAGCAGGAGCAAGGGGGAGGGGTGCCCTTCACATGGACAAGACATTGAAGCTTGTGATGCTATAAAAGCATGACATGTATGAGATTAATGCGATCATTTCTCCAGTTGAATAGAAATGAGGCAGAATGCCTCGCTCCGCATTGATTTTGAACGGAGATGGCATTGATTTTGCTCGGAGATGGAGTAGAGATGATATTTGCCTGTCCCATCTCATGTCGTCCTGCTCCACCTTTTTTTTTAAAAAAAAATAACAATTATACTCAATATATATAAAATCTGAAATCACAAATTAACTTTCAATATAACAAATAAGCTTTAATGATCTTTATAGAGAAAAGACAAGTAATGATTTCATTTATTTTAATTACATTTATAATATTTACAGTTGTGATATTTCAACTTAATTAAATATATTATTTATTCAATTGAAAATAGTTTAATTTATTATGAGTTATTTTATAAATTTGTAGTTGAATATTATGTTAAATGACTATCTTTTTTAATTATATTTTTTATATAGACTATTATCTTTTTGTTATAGATTGAAATTTAGTACAAGATGATATGATATAGAATAAGACAAAACATGACGGACACAGAGAATTAAGTGCACCGCATGGATCCTCAACTTCACTGGGGATGGGGATGGTAGGGCCAATATTGCACCGCATAGGGTCCAAGGTAGAGCTTTTCAGAGGAGGGCGGGGGCAGGGCCAGCCCATTGCCATTCGTACTGAATCATTTAAGCAAAGATGATTAACTACAGCATTGGAATACCAAAAACGCTCTGGAAAAAAAAAAAAAATCATATCAGATGATTGAACACTGCCCAATAACTTACATGTTGTTTGAAACTGACTTTTTCCAAGAGTAATAACATATATCAAGCTTCCCCTTCCAAACACTAATGTTGATAAGTTGAAGCTGCTCCAGCAAAGGAAAACTTGGCAGAGACTGGTAAATATAGTTCGGCTGCACTAGATGTTCTAAGCATTGAACACTGAAGACGATTGTTGTATGCTAGACCTTGATTCTCATGAGTTGGTTGAGTGTAATAAGATTGATAAGTTGATTGCAACGGCTGTTGTGTTTGCCACTGCTTTTGCATACTGGAAGATGCTGGCAAAGCATAGCTTGGTGCTAAACCTTGAGACTGCAATGAAGCATGTGAGGCTGTTGCCGAAGGTAGGTTTTGGTTATAATCATTGGCTACATTGTCTGAATGCAAAACAGTATCTCTGTCCTTTGGCAACTGGGGCACGTGATGTTGATTTTCATGTCTAGCAACATGGTTCCTCAGACACATCTCCATTGCGACCTCATAACTGTGTATATGGGCAATGCAAAAATATGCTGACATGATTAGAACCAACAGGACAAATCAATAAAAAAGAATGCAAGAGAACCGCTTAGCAAAGATGTAGCAAACTTGCTTAATGAAATCAAGGAAGAGCATGCACCATAAGTTTCTGGACCTGAAGTAGCATAGAGGCTTCCATTGCATATGGTTGCATTCTTATTCCTTTTTAAACTATCATTTCTAGGTATTCAATTGTTGGATAAATAACCTTCTTTCAAGATTTTTTTCATGTCAAAAGGATTCATCCAAAGAAAACATCAAATAGATAACTATTGTGTATTAATATGTGAGTGTATGTGCATGCGTTCGAATGCATGTGTATGAAGACCTAACCGACCATGTACTGCTATCAATATATATATATGAAGATCTGACAATCAAAATTTAATAAATAAATAAGAAGTATTCTTCGATTCAAAGATGTATTTCATGGAGCTCTTACACGGTAACACCAGAGAATTGAGTTTGTTCGATAGTTAGAATTGGTGTGATTGTTTCTCCTGAAGTTTGTCTTTAGAAGAAGACAACACTATCTCAGAAACCAAGTGAAAGCATTTACTTATAAAACAACACAAATGAAAATACTAAAAAGAGAAATTATACCTCCTTCGAGGATCATAAGCAGACACTAAAGATTTCTCAGGCAAGTATGGCAGATGTGCTTCTGCTGAATAATATTGGTTACTCTGAGGAGGAAGAGTATTATGAGGAACATAATGGAGATGCTTAGAAGGTTGAACCAATCCCCCAAGAAAGGTGTAAGCATGGTTTGCCCCAGGCAAATATAGAGAATGTGGTCTTGCGGGTGGTAGAACCTTCTCCACAGTAATTGCAGAAGGATATGCATGTGCTGGAGCCACATTTGCAAAAGTGGCCACCCCAGATGTAGATGGTGGCAAATCAATTGACCAGAACAATGATACTAAAGTTTTCACCTGTACATGAAGAAATTCCAAAAAATATATAAAAAAATTGCCATTCATTTCCAGGTAATAAAATTTCTTTCATAAATGACTAATAAACAATTCTTGCCCAGTAAGAATGCAAGAGAGTGAAAGCGCATCTTACTTGTTCAGTACTCAACTCTTGTCTAAACTTAGAACCTTGATAGTTGTCTCTAATGGCATGTTTCAAAGCACTCTCGGCAAGAGGTAAGCAGTCACTGACAATCTTAAACCTCACCTAAAGCAAGGAAACAAGAATATAATCAGAAAATGGATGTCCACAGAAACAGGTTCAAATGTTTACCACATGGCATAAGGTTACAAATATGAAGAAATAATATTGTGAAAAATCTAGATAAATATGTTAGGAGAATCCTAGAAAACCATCATGGAACATTTGATTACATTTACAAACCCATGATCGAGTCAATCCCAGAAACATATAAGATAGACATTAGATATAAAATTTCATTTCATTTGTCTACCAAATTGAATGATACCTTGGACGCACATTTTGTTTAAGGAGCAACTGTACTTAATATTCAAGGCTTCGAGTTAAATAATGTCCAGTTATAATAGGATACATTCTCTTCTTTCCAAAAAGGGTTTCTTTAGCATGTAAAGACCACAGAGAAGGATTTGAAAAAAGTACTTCCTTAGTACAGTGGCAGATGTACCATTTACCACTCATAATATCATAGCAGTTATTCATGCATTGGAAATCATACCAGTTTTATTATCCATAAGACCCCAGCAGCTACATTACCATTTTCTCACCTGTGCTGGAAATTTCCCATTAAATGCAGCTGGTTCCAAATTCATCCCTCCCCAAGAAATGGCAGTGTAAATGCCGTAAAGGCGCTTCACACCAAAATCAAATAGAAAGAGCTTTGTACCCGGTTCAATTTTCTCAACTATGTCTAAATTTCCCCGAGGCAGCCCAAAAACACGATAGCGATAGCACTCAGGTTTTGTTTCTCTATTGCACAAAAATATAAATCCAGTTATCTTTTCAACATTTTCCTCCCCATCCATCATCACATGAGTGGCAGTTGGAGCAACATGACTAGGGAGCAAGGACTTCAAAGAGAGACTACTGTTATGAGCATAAGCTGTATTTATTTGCATGGTTTTCTTCTTATTCTTTATGAACCTCTTTCCTATCTTCTAACCAGCATTTGAATGATTTGCCTCTGGCCCTTGACCATTGAACCTCTCCACTCTGCCACAGTAAGTAAAACACACCAATTTAATAGACAATTCATTTTCTTCAAGGGAAATCAAATGCATAAAAAGAAATGAAGCAAAATTTTGCATGTTCAGATTGAAGGGCAGTTTAAATTGCATATAATAGGAATGGTTTTGTCCCAACCAGATATATATATTCTATTAGCATCTAGAGGACCAAAAACAAAATAATTAACTAAAACATTAGCACACGCTTACTTTGGGAGGAAAGCCTCTCGAAGCTGCTTTCTTAGGCTTAAAAACAACAGACAGTTAAACCGGATTGCAGGCGTTATAGAAATTCATATAGGATTCAATTATTGAACAACACTTAAATTAAACTCTTAAATCATTCTCATCCATAGTGTTTTGCAACTTTTGCTAAAAACGAAGACTCAACAACACGACAGTGACAAAATATAAAACTCATCACTCTGGCCATGCCCTGCTGTAGCATCATCAATTCATCATGTTAAGACCCAGTCCTCAATCACTTACTTATCGAAGAACAACCGCATTGCAATCACAATTCTTGTTACTAGTTATTGCTTATATAAGTTGAATGAGCAACCAAACCAAAGAAAACGAGACAGATAAAATCAAACAGGCCTACTAAAATAACCAAACAAGCAGTGTTATATCATGCAAACTGCTAACCCTATCTCTATCAACTTAATTGGCAGAAAATGAAATAAAAACATCAAGAAACGCTATAAATGTATAGAGAAAAACACAGAAACCGATAGTTAAGAGTAGAATGAGATGGTGATTAAAAACTACTTGAAAATTCAGTGACGGAACTGCGAGGAAACGAAAAGACCAAAGCAAATGTGTCCAAAAATTGCTGTTAGGGATTCTTTTTAAGGAAATTATTTTCACTCCTGGGTTTGGTTTTATTGGAGCAAAAGGGTATTGGCAAATTTCATGAATTGATTTTGGTTGTTACAGCAAGTCTCGTGAGAGACGGTGAGAACGGCAACGGTAGAGGGGATAATATATTATTAGGGACGACAAGTTGTTAGCTTCATCACAATTTATCACAATTTGTACTAGGATACTGTTAACCAATTAAATTGTTATTTCTATTTTTTTTTAAAGATAATTACCAATACATCTTTCCCATTCAACTAATTTTAACCTTTTTTTTAATTTTTTTAATTTTTTTAATTTTATGGCTTATAAAATAGCTTTATGATTCCTATTCAATTTTTTATATTATAATTTCATTTTAAATTTTGAGTGAATTCAATAAAAATTATTATTAGATGGTATTGTAATAACTCATTTTTTTGACCTCTCGGTTTATTTTCATACAAAATTAAAGAACTAAAAAATAGAGAAAGAAATTTAAAAAAAAATTAAAAAAAATTAGAATGTTGCATAGTTTGTCTTTTTCATGATTTTTAGGCTTTTTTAATAATTTTTTAGGATTTTAATTTCTTAGAATTATTTTTCATTTTCAATTAAAAAAAAAGAGAAAAGAAAAAAAAAAGAAGAAAAGAATGAAAAAAATTGAGAAGATGATTTGGGATCCAATCGAAAATGATGTGAAAAGTGAGGACCAAATGACATTCAATTAGGGATGTAATTGAAAAGAAATAAAAATTAAGGAATTTGATTGAGAATTAATTAGTGAAAAATTAAAAGAAATCAAGAAAATATGAATTAAACAATTTTAATTAATGAGTTAGTTGGAGATAAATAATAAAATATACATTGAAATAGACAAAAATAATCCAAGAAAAGACTTAAATAGATTTTATCCCAAATCCTAAAAAATTCTTATATATACATCATTTTCACTTCATTTTGAGAGGGTCTCTACAGTTATTTTCCTACTCCAAAAAAACCTAGTCTCCATCACCCATCTCCCTCAAAAAAATTTCAACCACCATTTCTCTCTCTAGCTAGATTTTTAAGCTCATCCCATCATCCAATACCACGAAACACTACCACTCCTTCATCTAAGCTACTATCCTCTATTAAAACCATCATTAGCCTTCCTTCTCAACTTGACCAACCACCACAACACCTCCACACAACCAGCGAATCCTGCATCACCCAAAACCCCTCCCCCACAAAAACCTTTACAAAAAAACTTTCATATGAAAAAAAAAAAGAGAAAACAAGCCAAACAACCTTTAAAGAACTCACCGGAATCGAATAGCAATCCACCAAACTCGTCAAAATTTTTCTCCCAAATCGACCACCCTTAGGCTAATATTACCTCCAATCACCGCCACCAATGAATAGCCTAGTTTCATATTGACCTATCCCCACCGAGTTAGAGGAGAAGAGGACGTCGAAAGAGAGAGAAATCGACGTTAAAGTCATGGCGACTCGAACTAGTTACATACCTAATCAAATCGCCATTTTTCGATCAACCCACCACTTGTCACCACCACAAAATTTTTCATGCCCCTCCTAGAAGTGTTTTCCCTTTGAATTTGTAGCCCAATGTCAATAAAAAATGACCTAATCGATGGTGATTCGTTTCTCGATCCGTTTGGTGCAACCCGATATAATCGGTTGATAAGACCAAATCGGACCTCATAACCATCACAAAAACACTTTCAATAGCCTCATGAGTCGATTGGTTCCCTCAAAACCCCATAATATCATCGGACTCTTCGACGAGAAGAGAAGGGAATTTGTCAAAACTTTTAAGTTGTCAATCTCCCTCTTTCGTCGTTGGCGACGACTTCCACCACCATAGACGAGTCGACGATAGTCTCCTCCACCACACGAGCTAGTTCACAAGCCTAAAGGACCATTAAACGGTGATCAAAAAGTCGGTAATGACGTTTTTTCTTTTAGGGTTAGTTTCATAATTTTGACTTATAAGGGTATTTTGGTGGTTTTGCATCGGGGGCATTTTGTCATTTTGTAGAAACATTGTAGGGACATTTTGGTCACTTCCTAGTGACCATTTGGTTTTTTTCTTATTTTTTAAATTTTTTTATGATACTATTTTACAATAATGTTAATTTTATTTGTGTTAAAAAATCTAAAAATATTTAGCTTATGAGATTTATTTTAATGTATGGAGTTGATTTGGTTGTCATATTAGACCGATGAGTCTCCTATTTATTAGAGATGGGCATTGGTTCCGATATATTTTATCCAATAATGAAAATACTAAAAAAATAAGGAATCAATTCGGGTTGATTTTGTTTAACATTTTGCGTAAATATGTTAGTTAATCGAGTCATTCTTCGGCATGCCAATTGGGTCGAGCCTTTAATTTGGATTTGATCTAAATTGATAAAACTCCTAAATTTTGAGGTAGATGTTAATTTAATACGATGCCATAGAAATTTTTTTTTTATAATGTTTCTCTCGCATAGCTCAAAATAAAACATAAAAAGAAAAAAAAAGTGTTTCAAGCAATCTTAATGAGTCTCATATCCAATAAGGACTCATGTTAAATTAAATTAATCATCCTTAGTAATCGTGTACTCTAAGATACCAATTATGTCAAGACTTAAACTGGATTTGATGCTCGAATTGACGAGACTTTCAATGATAAGGTTCAACAATCGATTCAATATGATGTCATAAACAAAAATAAAAAAATTAATTTGGCTCGAGAAATAAAATTTAGAATTTTGACTTAGGATCAATTTGGCAAAAATAGAAATTTTTAGGAGGTAAACTTTAGGACTAAACCGGACATGGTACTTTTGAGTTATTGATGTCTTCCTAAAGGTATAACTAACTCCTTACTCAAAAATTTCTAAACTAGTGTTCATTTTAGATTCTTAGTTATCTTTAGTAAAAATGGCAACTCCAAAATTAAAAACTTAGTTTAACTCGTATCCCCAAACAAATGGAATTTTCAATAAATAAACATATTATTTCGGAATTCCCACGAATGTTAAGTAATTACGTAACGACTACTCCACCGAGGATTTAGAGTTAGGTCACGAGTTTAGTCTTTTTGAAGTTTATCTTCTTTATTTATTTTTGTCATTTATATCCAAGTTCTTTATTTTCAAGTATTTATTTATTTTTTATTTAATTTGAAGTTATTTACTTTATGCAATTTATTTTTCTTGTATTTTAATTTCTATACATATTTATTTTGTGAACTACGTTAGGTGTATTTGCTGTGTATTGTTGCATTCAACAAAAAAAATCTGTGGAAGCTCCGGACCCAAGCTAAAAAATCGTTTTGGATTTAGAAAGAGAGATTCAAAGGCAAATATGATGAAAGTTTACCGATGCTTATCCGAACTCTTATTTGAACTGGAACTTACCCTATGCATAGGAAATTATGGAATGACCTTCCCATATCTCCCGGTGTTTAAGGTCGGAGGTTGAATTACCCTATTGGTAATTTAGACGATCTAAAAACTTGAAAAGACTTTAGGATTAGATAAGTTTTACCTAAATTCTAGAAAAGCTATATCACGATCACTAGGATTGTCTATTTAAGACACGAACTATCTTTAAATGATGTCAATTCTAACCTTATTTTTATAAGTTATCATCTAAAAAAATCATCATAGAGAATGATATATCGAGGATTTTAGAGTCTGGATTAGAGTGAGACCTCTATTTGAGGAAGATGATTATCCGTCTATATATTCTATGTCAAAATTGTAAAAAAAAAAAAAAAAAATTGAGATCCACAAGCTATAAGTACACCACCGAAGAGGAGTTCATACAAGGCTCAAAGACCTTATAGCCACTACCGCCTCATATCTTGGTCCGGAGTTATGAAGAGTAAAATAGGGATATGTATGTATTGAAAATATTATGAGCATTGTAATATAATCTTAGCTGTAAAAAGTGATCATTGTAATGTAAACAACCATATTGTTTTTGGCATACAATAAAAAATGGCTTTAAGTCATATTTAGAATGTGCTAGAAGTCCAAATTTTAAATTTTTCTATG